GGGTTTTAAACGGGCTCTGGTAAGATAGATTGCGATTTCTATTAGAAAACACGTTGTACAATGCGGTGAAGGTTCGGCTCAGAACATGTTTGAGAAAATGTTACACGCCCTTATGGTGCTCGCTCAGGCTGATCACCTGGGCTTATGATGTAAGGAATTTCCATTCCTTACTGAGTCGTACGCTAGCGCGTACTCCCGACTTCCTCGACTCATCACGTTCGGCCTCAATTATCGGCCCAACCCTTTCCCGAGTCGCGTCCGGCACTGTCGCCACATTGCTGAACCTACCCACGTTCCGGGGTTATCGCCCTAGTACGCCAACTCCTATATAACCTCGTGCCTTCATTGCAATAGCGACCTTGGATTATGGCGTTATAGTACATTGACACTTCCTATTTCATAACAACTGGTATCAGAGCCCAAACTTTCCAGGAACCTTCCGTTTCCCCGTTAATTTAGTTACGGGTGGTCAGAGGGGATTAACACAGCTGCACAGCAGTTGTCTTTGATCGTAAATATTTTTACGTCAACAACTACAGCGTGTGCGCTAGTCTCTGCCCCGTCTCGACCGCCATGGCCCCGGTTGAGGAACAGACCACTTCGACTGCTGCGAACTCTGCCCGGGAAACTATGGACCTGCAAGCATTAATGGAGCAGTTGAATAGTTTGACAAGCGTTGTCAACAACCTCCTTGACGAGAACCAACGACTTCGTCAGGCGCAGGAAAGGCGTTCAGAGGAGCCGTGTGACGATGCACGAAGCGAGGCGGGTGAGCAACAACCGTCGCCAGTGGAGCTGGCGCAACTAGCGGCAACAGCCCCGCGCTCGACAAGTGGCGGCGTGAGATATCAGCAACCCGCTCCTTTCGACCCAGCTAATAAAGGCGTGACGGTGCGGCAGTGGATATTCGCCATGAATATCTATTTCAACGCAGCGAGCATCAGAGACGATCAGAAGCGGATCAGCCATGCGTTGACACTGTTGCAAGGGGCCGCCCTACAGTAGTGGAAGGTCATCGTCGACTCAGCGGCAATTCGCACAGAAGGACAGCATGAGTGGCCCGAAGAATTCGGCGACGAAGACGAGGCAGATTTGCTGTTTGGTGCAACCCACATTCGCACGTGGGCAACGTGGTGCGCAGAACTTCGCAAGCGGTTTTAGCACACTCCTGACTCAGGCAAAGCGCGCGAGGCTCTACGCATGTGGAAGCAGCTGGGATCTGTGTCCGAATACACCGCGTCATTCTTGACGTTGGTGGATCGATGTGGCTACATGCACGAGTTGGAGAAGGTCGACAGGTACATGGGCGGACTGAAGCCTAAAATATAGTACCAGATAAAACTGCAATGCCCTGCGAAGCGGTTACAAGACTTTATCCAGCTCGCCGAAGACGCCGATTCGCTCACGAAGCCGAGGACAAACTTCTACGACGGAGGTCGCCCTCGAGAACAATACCAGCGCGCCACGATAAAAGGGATGGACGCAGTGGATATCTACGCAGTTGCTCCGCGAAATACGGGGCTATGCTACCACTGTGGCCGACCGGGTCACATCCGACGCAACTGCCCAGAAATCGTAGCCACTCATAATTCTATGGGGAAAAAGCCGGAGGAGCGACCGGGAAGTGGGTCGCGTCAGTAAGTACCGGGCCCCTTACTGACGGGCAGGCTTCTTCGCCCGAACCACACAGTCCCCACCGGGTCGTGATCCCGATTGTTGCAATCGACCGGACCCGGACGAATAAGGGGGACAAAACTGCTGATCAACCTGTGTTGGTGGAGGGTAAAGTCAACGGGGTGTTGCTGAAAATATTCGTGGATGGAGGCGCGAGTCACAGTCTCATACAGCTGGACAGGGCTAAAAAAATGGGTATTCCCCTACTTAAGTGTCTACCCAAAATTGACGCATGCCTAGTAGATGGAACACCGCTGGCCATATGGGAATGAGTGGAGAACGTCGGTTTCCATTGCGGGGAGCACGTATAGCAACGCGCCCTCCGCGACAATGCATCAGTCCTCGTTTTTCCTAAATTACGGACAGGACCCAGTGGTATGTGTTGAGTGACCCGCTGGGGTTGCCCTTGAGATCCTCGGGGAAGGGCCACAGGTGCAGAGCCTGGGGGGCTATGGGCGCACTTATCCGCTATTTAACAAGCCCTTTTAACCCAGTGGTTAGTGGCTGGGTTTCTGACATGGTATCAGAGCCAAAGGTCTTGGGTTCAACTCCCAGTGCCAGCGCTGCAGAGGCGCTCGTGTCTTCCACCTATCCCAGGGAGGGGGGGGGGGGGTGTTGAGTGACCCGCTGGGGTTGCCCTTGAGATCCTCGGGGAAGGGCCACAGGTGCAGAGCCTGGGGAGCTATGGGCGCACTTATCCGCTATTTAACAAGCCCTTTTAACCCAGTGGTTAGTGGCTGGGTTTCTGACATGGTACCCTCTACCCCGAACATCGAGACACCCATGCCCCGGTCCCAGAAATTTGCTGAAGACATTCTCGCCGCCCGAGAAAAAGCAGCCGAGGCCACCTGGAAAGCCAACCTGGTCGCAAGCCGACAAGCCGAGATGATGTCACTTACAAAGTGGGAGATCTCGTCCTCCTCGGCACTCGCAATTTGCGGCTGCCGATCCCGAGCAAACTCCGCCCCAGATTCTACAGACCCTTTCAAGTGACGAATATGGTGACACCTGTCACTGCTCACCTCCGACTCCCGGCTGATTGGCGTCACCACCTGGCGTTCCACGCCTGCCTGTTACGGCCCTACGTCCCCAGTTCGTCAAAATTGGCGCGCCAATGCGCTGTACCGCAGCTGACGCCACTGTAGGAACCGACAACCGAGCCTTTGAAAATTCTCGGCCATCGGGTCACGGCGCAGCTGAACCGTCGGATGGTTGATTTTCTAGTCCGCTGGTGCGATCGCACGTCCGAAGACGACAGCTGGGTGCCACTTGCCGAGCTAGAATCACATCCGATTCTAACAGCGTATTATCAGCGTCGGAGTGTTTCCGATGCCCGCGGTCTCGTTTAGGAGGGGGTGGTAGTGTAAGAAATTTCCATTCCTTACTGAGTAGTACGCTAGCGCGTACACCCGACTTCCTCGACTCGTCACGTTCGGCCTCAATTATCGGCCCAACCCTTTCCCGAGTCGCGTCCGGCACTTTCGCCTCATTGCCGAACCTACCCACGTTCTGAGGTTATCGCCCTAGTACGCCAACTCCTATATAACCTCGTGCCTTCATTGCAATAGCGACCTTGGATTCTGACGTTATAGTACATTGACACTTCCTATTTCATAACATATGAAGTGCACTACTTCCTGTGTGTCCCACCCTACTGAATCATCTGCCTGTTTCCTTCGGCAAAATCACGCCACCTGAACTGATGCATGCTCAAGCTGTATGGCCAGCACTGAAGTCCGTAACCGTTTTCAGGTGAAAAATCTCCCTGATAGGTGCCTATCAAGACGCTGCTTATCACCCTGCGCATGTCACGACGAGCCGCAGTTTGCGCTGTCCGCCCACCATGTTGTCCTACAGTGCTGCTATCTTTTGCAGGGGGGGGGGCCGCTGGGGGGATTGGGGGGGGTAGGATTCCGTCCCCCATCACTAGGCCGCGCTGCCCACCAAATGTCAAGCCCATTCCGAAATGCCACGCCTGAGCAAACGAGTGGCGCTGCTGGCGGCCCTTCCTCGCCATCGGCGAAAGTCGCTGAATTCGTTTCGCCGACATTACCTGCGCCGTGCTCGGGCGAATTCCGCCAACAACCGAATCGCATGTCGGTTCCTGGTTTCTCCTGACTGCAATGAAAACATTTGTGCCTTTCGTCTTTTTCAGCCTGCTGGTGCCATGCCATGCCATGTCAAGGCAACTGGATTCACGCGACACAGCCAATTCCCCACCCCACCCCCAAATTCCCAGGAGTCTGTTGCGCTTCCCAGTGTTCCCACGCAACACAGCCAATCCCTCGCGTCGCCCTCATGTGCTCTCCTCCCCCCCCCCCCCCTTGCACCACCGCCAACAGAGAAGTCGCAATTTCCAACCAGCTTACCAAGAGGGGCAGATATTGACGCGATAGGGCAAGCTCACGCATTTCCCAGCACGAGACACAAAGCCCGACTCTCGACCTTGAGACTGCTTGTTCAGCCCCACCTCCCCTCGACGGCCTCATTATATCGTACCACACTGCTTGCACGCTACCGCCATTTAGAACCCACCCAGAGTGTCTATCCCCATAGCTGCTATTTCTTCGCCCAAGCCTCCACCTGCAGGTTCGCTCTTCCTGGGCCTTGAGGGAACTTTCCCGATTCGACCTAGATGCACTTATCATCCCGCGACTGCTACTTGTACGACCTCTGGTGATAGCATCTCGCAACTGCTGCCTTGTAAGACCTCCCGCGACGCCGATGCTCCACAGTCTCGCCTAATGCCTCGGCAACGCGGCCACCCGCTTCATAGTCGGCGCAACGCCAGAGCTCCTTTTTAGCTCGCAGTCGGCCCTTCCTGGTTCGTTTTCTCACGGGAAAATATACACGGTTTTACAGGCGCCTTAGATACAGCTTACGCGACCGATCTACGCTTGCGTCGGCCATCTGTCGACTCTGTAACGAATCCAGCGCCGTTTCACGCGGGCAATCGTCTATCGATCAGCCATCCATCAACTTGACCCATCCGCCGTGTAACGCGGGCAGCCATGGAGAGCGGAAGAAAGCTCGCGCGGTGGGAGATGGGGTCGCCGCTGTGCGTGCGATCGCCGGTGTCGTCGTTCACCGCGGGGGCCTTCAGCGACGGCAAATCAAGATCCAAGGTATATCCCGCGACGTTGTGCTTTTCAAGGGGTGGCTGTATCGCTTTTGGTGATGCGGTTTTGTGAGTATCGAGTCGACTAGAAAGCGACGTGGTGCCTTTTCTGAGGAGTGACTTTCCGCCGCAATCCTCGGGATGACTTTTGAGTCGACTCAAAAGTCATCTCGCAATCCTCAGGCGACGCCGCTGACGAGTGAATAGAGCGGAGGTGATGCGGGTGACTTCTGAGTCGACTCAAAAGCCACCTTAAGCGGGTTAGGGATAGTCGGGTCTTGAGGCGCCTCAAAACACGGCCCCGTCGCTGTGCGGGCGCTCACTGCAGGGCATACAGCGACTGTGAATTGAGATTCCAAGGTGAATCAATTGACGGCAACTGTTGTAGCACGGGAAGCAGGCCAGCTGTAGCAGATTCGGGAGGGGCCACTGCAGCCGCTGCAGCCGTTGCAGCCGCGACTTTAGACTCGTTCAGTCTCGCGCCAGCGGGAAGGCTCGGGGTCAAAGTGAAACCGGGCGGGTGATCGGCAGAAACAAGTCGCGGTGGCGCTCGGTGGGGAGCGGTGGGCTATTAGTCAGTGGGTGGTGGAGGATGGAACCTGACGTCCGACTGTTGGGATGCGGGCGGTGCGACGACAGGACTGCTCGTCCCGCCGTGGTTGGGTCGGTGCGCTGGCCCGCCAGGTGCGGTGGCCCGTTGATTAAACGCGCCCTTCGACGCAGTGGTTGGCGACCGCGGGTGTCGTGGCTGGCACTATGTAGGCTCAAGGCGCGAAGCTGCAGGCTCTAGGCATTAGGGCAGAAAAATCGACTTGGATGGTCGATGTCCCGGCGCGGCACCGCGTCTGGAGGCGCTTGGAGATTAGAGCCTACTATTTCCTCCATAAGCTACGCCCATCTCTGTATGCTTCGCGCCTCCCCCTCCACTCATCCATTCTCATCCACTCTCCCCCGCCTCGCCCTCCCCCTCTCCCCCCTTCCCCCCCTCCCCCCCCCCTTTCCCCCCAGGCCTTCACGAGCCGCGTCCTGTCCACAGCGCGCCTCGTGCTCGTCTTTATTCTCCTCGTCTCGTTCCTCTCCACGCTCTGCGCCACCATCGGCGTACCTAAAATCGACCTATCAGAGCCCGTCGTGCTGATGCGCCGCGGCGACCGGCGGTTAATAGTGAAATACAAGCCCAACGGGGAGGACGCGGGGACTGGTGGGGTGTTAGATCCGGTTGCGGACCTTTCGCATCCGCGGCTGGCGAAGAGACGAGCGCTCATGCGATACTTCGCGGACCAATAGCAGGATAGATGCTACACGCTACACGCGTATCAAGAGCTGGGAATAGAAGGATTCTTATCTCTTTCCGCCAGAAGCTGCACCTACAGTACAGTGGGGCTGCTGCACCTGAGGCAAAGCTTGGCAAGAGGTTTTGAGCTCTTATGCGCTCTCGAGCTCTTGCTAGAGATGCTACTGGTAGCAGAGAGAGAAGCGCCACTGACTAGCAACCCTTACGCGCATCCTATGACTAGTTGTGATTATATAGCCAGCCATACCATGTATATGAGACGGGCAATGGGCCGTATTCACACGTACGGTATTGCCAGCACTGAATGGGCAGCAGAGCAGTTGATATAGGTGCATGCATTCGTTCTCATAACATGCAAAAGAGCTTGCGTTTTGCGGCTTCTCACAAATCGTACCAGAACTAGTTAAGATAACCAACTTTGACAGCCGCAAGCACGAAGTTGTGCATGGAATAAGTTGTGGCAGCATGTGCAAGGAAGGAGTGCAAACGCGTGGCATTGCATGCCATGGCAAGTGCGGATGGGGAAAGAAAGCACGCCACAGGCAGCATGCAAGTGATTGCAGGGGCAAGCAGCATGCCTCACCATGCTCTACTGTGGTTGTGACCATGCTATTCTGGTTGACTTGGCGGGTGTTGGAGTCAGTGGAGTGGAACAGCAGTGCAGTGCAGTGCAGTGCTTCTCAGTGCACTGCTTTCTCTCAACACTTCATGCAGCAGCATTGACTGCAGCAGGCTTGGATTGGCAGGCACGTATAAAATCAAACCAAGCTACAACAACAGCAGCAGCTATGCAACGGTAAGCAAGCACGCTGGTAAGCATGCTGGCAGGTAAGCATGCACGCTGGTAAGCAAGCTGGCAGGTAAGCATGCAGAAGCACGTTGTGCGGTACGGTATAATTTTGGGCCGCCTCAAAACTAGACTCCAAGCATGGAGCACGTCAGGCGGTGTTGACAGGAACAGGCCCGGGGAAGGCAGCAGGGGAGGCTCGGATGACGAGCAGGCGGTCGTCAGCCCCCCAGGGGATAGGGCAGGCCTTGTCAGTGGGGTTGAGCTGCCAGTCCCCCCGGTGCCGATACGCTATCACCAGCTCCTCACTCATCCGCACCCGCGCCTGGAGGGGGTTAGGTGGGAAAGGGTGGTTGGGTGCATGGAGTTGTGCATATTACTGCCAGCACGAGGCGCGAGGCACGAGCGTGCAGGCAGACAGAGGGCCTTGTCAGTGGGGTTGAGCCGCCACTCCCCCTGGTGCCGATACACTACCACCAGCACCAGCTACCACCAGCACCAGCTACCACTCGTCCGACTTTTGATTCGACTCAAAAATACCACCAGCACCAGCTACCACCAGCAGCTACCACCAGCACCAGCTTCCACCAGCACCAGCTACCACTCGTCCGACTTTTGATTCGACTCAAAAATACCACCAGCACCAGCTACCACTCGTCCGCACCCGCGGCTGGACGAGTGGTTTGGGGCAGGCGGGAAATATTGGGGGGGGGGGTTTGCGGGAGCTTGTGAGGGAATGGAAGCATGAAGCATGTGAATCAGAGATAACACAAGGCGTGAAGGATGCAGGTATATGGAGGGAAGATGACCGGGGAGGCGAACAGAAAGGAGGGTAAAGAGCATGAGGCATGCCGGAAAAGAGAGGCCCGCCTGCATTCCCCCCCTCATAGTCCCAAATGCATCCCTCCCCTACAGCCCCACCTGCATCTCCCAGCAGCTGAAGATGCCCGGCTCGCTCTCCCCAACATGTTCATCTCCCCTTACAGTCACACATGTGCTTCCGGAACAGTGCCCTGCCTTATCCCCCCTCCTGCATCTCCCGGAAGCTGAAGACGCCCGGCTCGTTGTCCCCAATGAACTCACCCCCTCTCAGCACTCCCTCCCTGAATTCCTCCACTCATGCCACTCACATCCCTCCACAGCTCCACCCACCCCATCCCCATCCCCCCCTCGCAGCCCCACCTGCATCTCCCAGAAGCTGGAGATGCCCGGCTCGTTGTCCCCGATGAGCTCATCTGCCGCCTCTCACTGCCAAGTGCACCTTTGCTTGGCCCTGCCTTTAACCCCACCCACCTGCATCCCCCCCCACCGCACCCAACCCCCCCCCCCCCCCCAACCCATCCCCATCCCCCCCTCCTACTCCATCCCCATCTCCCCCTCCTACTCCATCCCCATCCCCCCCTCCCACTCCATCCCCATCCCCCCCTACCGCCGCACCTGCATCTCCCAGAAGCTGAAGATGCCCGGCTCGTTGTCCCCGATGAACTCATCTGCGCGCCGCACTGCCATGCGGTTCTTCTCCGACCCGATGATCTCGTCCAATACTGTGCCCACATCTGGAGGGGGAAGGCAGGCATGAAGGGGAAGGGGGATGGTAAAGTGTGGTCTCTGGGGAGGTGAATTCGTCCCAGGATGTGCTGTGAAATCATCCGCCCACCTCACTGCCATGCGGATCTTTTAGACCTGATGATCTCGTCTAGCACCGTGCCCACGTCTGGTTAGAAAAGCGAGGGAGTTTCACCGGGAAAGAGGGGGGTGAGGAAGCGTGGTGGTTGTGGGGAGGCGAGTCCGTCCGCCCACCTCACCGCCATGCAATTCTTTGACCCGGTGAGCAGATGTGGGCACGGTCCAGCACCGTGCCCACATCTGGGGGAGGGAGGGGAGAGGGAGGGGGGGGAGAAGGGGGTTGGGTTTGGGGGTTAGAGACGAAGAGGGGGGAGGGACGGCGATCATGAGTAGTGGGCTCTGGGGGAGGCGAATTCATCTGCGCGCCCCACGGCCATGCGGTTCTTCTCCGACCCGATGATCTCGTCCAACACCGTGCCCACATCTGGCGGGGGGGGAGACACGAGGAGCGCAAGGAGGCTCATGCTGATGGTGAGGAGAGCAGGGAAGCATGTTGACGATCTTGTCCAATACTGTGCTGACATCTGGCGGGGGAAGGCAGCCAAGGGACGCTGATAGGGAAGGGGTTCATGATGCATGGGTTCATGATGCAGGGGTTCATGATGCAGGGGTTCATGATGCAGGGGTTCATGCCTCTCATTTGGTTCATGCCTCTCATTTACTCCCATACCCTCGCTTCCTTACCCTCCCTCCCTCGCTACCCTTGCTTCTCACCTGGGTCATGTGTGATTTGGGCCAGCACTTGTGCCTCCAGGTGCGGCGGGCACACAGCGCCATCCAGCGCATGTCTCTCCAACTGCCGGGCCACGTCCCTCTCACTCGCCGGTACTTCTGCGACAATGGCAGCCTCTCTTGTGCACCCTCGGGCTGTCTGAAGGGAGGAAGCGCAGGGGGAAGGAGGAGAGACACCGTGCTCTTTGAGTCAACGCTTGCCGCTCCACCTGCCGGGCCGCGCCCCTCTCAGATGCCGGTACCTCCGCCACAATGGCTGCTGGCCTCGGGCACCCTCTAGATGCCTGATCAACACAAGGGGGAAGGGAGTAACGGGAGCAGTCTCCTTGTAAGAGCATGCCGGGCCGCGTCACTCCCAGATGCCGGAGCCTCTGCCACAATGGCTGCTTCCCTCGCGCACCGTCTAGACGCCTGACAGGGCACACGGGAAGGGGAGAACGGGAAGGGGGCACCCTCTAGACGCCTGACAGGGCACACGGGAAGGGGGGAACGGGAAGGGGGCACCCTCTAGACGCCTGAGGCGCCTCAAAACGGGCACACGGGAAGGGGGGAAACTTTTGAGTCGACTCAAAAGTCAAACGGGCACACGGGAAGGGGGGAAACGGAGCACCCTCCGCGCCCTCTCCATGCCGTATCGCCTTGTCAAGAAGCTGATAAGATGCTGATACTTCAGCCGCGATTGCTGCCCTCCCACTGCGTGTTTGACAGGCATGGCAGCCAGCAGAGGATCCGGTGGGAGGAATTGTGGGCGCTTGAGGGAGACCGGGAGAGTAGCAGGCAGAACGGAAGCCACCTGTGAGCTGTCCACCATCTCAGCATTCACCTGAATCCACCTGAGAAAACACCTGAGACAACATCTACCTGAATGCTTCTGATAAGCAGAGCAGTCATGGTAGCCTGTGAGCTGTCCACCATCCCCGCATCCGCATCCTCCCCCTCCCCATCCTCCCCCTCCTCCCCCCCGTTGACTTGCGTTGACTGCAACAGAATCACCGAGTCGACTGTTTCCAGGGGTAGCGACTCAAGAACCTCTCTAGAAGCTGGACTGCCGCGCTCTGGTGTAGGGAGGGAGCGGAAGGGATGGAGAGAAGAGGGGTGTGCGGTGGGGGTTGGGAGTTGGGGCATGTTGACTTGCTTGCGCTTTTAGTGTTGACTGCAGCAGAATCACCAAGTCAACTGTTTCCAAAGGAAGCGACTCACAAAACTCCCTGGATGCTGGGCTGCCTCGCTCTGGTGCTGTGAGAAGGGAAGGAACGCACTGGATGCTGACTCGCTTCCACTGATAGTGTTGAGGAGTCTATTTTTCAGGCGCCTAAAAAATAGACTCCGCACTGATAGTGTTGACTGCAGCAGAGCCACCAAGTCAACATGCATGAGAACATTCTCGAAGACTTCACAAAGAACAGTATGCCCCGTCCAAGCACCTCCGTCCAGGCACCTCCGTTCAGACATGAGCAAAATAAATCGCATCGCATCGCACCGCAATAAATGGAAAATCGCGCGATGCAATTTTCTGTTTATCGCACGATTTTCTTAAATCGATTTTAATCGAGCGGAAAATGCGGTATAAACTCGATATACTTAAAAAAAAAATAAAAAAAATCGGGCGACTTCGAAATGAGTCGCGCCGCGAATTCTCGCCAGCAAGGGGGGAAAAACGCAAAACCGAAAGTCGGCCCCCTATTCCACGGGGGCTCGCACCTGTGCGAAACCCATTTTTGAAACATACTATTTATTTACCCTGAACCCTATAGCTGCCGGTGCTTTAATGTGCAGGGAATTTTTTTCTTGTTTTTTTTCTGGGAGGATTTTTTTCCTGGACAGGAAAGCGATTTAATATCTCATCGCGCTATTTTTAATATCCTGGACAGGAAAGCGATTTTAATTTAAACGCGATGTGCGATTTACAGTTTCTGAAAATTTAAATCGCGAGATGCGATTTTAAACCGCATCGTTTTTTTTGTTTGTTTGTTTGTTATGTTTTTTTTTTTTTTTAATAATAAAAACGTCACGCATCGCTTTTTCTTTTTACCGCCCCCCATCGCGATGCCATTTAAATCACAATCTCGTTTTGCTCATGTCTACGGTCCAACCACCTCCGTCCAACCACCTCTGTCCACCCATACAAGCACAATGTCCTGCAAGCACACCTCCCTGCAAGCACACCTCCCTGCAATCAACACTCACTGATCCGGATGGGCAGTTTTCGTTGCCTGCGAATGTTCCCCAGCGCCACCTCTTCTGCTGGGGTGATGTGCGGGGCCACCACTGTCACCTCGCTACCTGGTGGGGGGGAAGCCGGTTTGAGGGGGGGGAGCAGGTTTGGGGGGGGGGAGCAGGTTTGAGGGGGGGAGCAGGTTTGGGGGGGGGAAGCAGGTTTGAGGGGGGGGAGCAGGTTTGAGGGGGGAGTGGAATTCTGTTGCCTGCGGATGCTCCCCAGCGCTACCTCGTCTGCTGGGGCGATGTGAGGGGTCTGCTGGTTGGGGGTGGGGAGGAGGGGGGGAGCGAGGAAGAGGAGGGGGGAGCTGGAGAATCTTAGAACACCTTAATTCCCCACTGACCCCTCTCCTGCTCGACCGATGCATTGGCAAAGCCATAGAGGCAAATGGATAGGCATAGGCATAGACATAGGCATAGGCTTAGGCATAGGCATCGGCATAGACATAGGCATAGGCATAGACATAGGCATAGGCTTGGGCATGGCATCGGCATAGGGGAAGGCATAGGCATAGGCGTAGGAAGGTGTATGGTGTTTTAATGTCCGGTGCATGGTGTTTGGTAGTTGGTGTATGGTGTATGGTGTATCGTGTGTATGGTGTATGGTGTATCGTGTGTATGGTGTATGGTGTAGAGTGTATGGTGTACGGTGCACGGTGTTATGCGGGTGATGTGGGGTGATAAGGGTGATATGGGGTGATACAGGGTAATGTGGTGATGGGTGATATGGGGTGATGGGTGATAGGGGGTGGTAAGGGGTGATGCGAGTGATGAGGGGTGGTGCGGGCGATATAGGGTGATATGGGGCGATATAGGGTGATATGGGGTGATATAGGGTGATATGGGGTGATATAGGGTGATATGGGATGACATAGGGTGATATGGGGTGATGTTGGGTGATATGGTGACACACAATGCTTGTGCTAGTATCACACCCACACACCTTGTGCCACTATCACACCACACCCACACACCTTGTGCCAATATCGAGGGCAGCAGTTCCACCAGCTGCTTCGCTTCGGGCCGCCATCCGCATATAAGCACGTGCTGCTTGCCACCCACACTGCTGCTGCTGCTGCCACGCGACGACTTCTGATTGGCTGTTTGGCCGTTGACCGCGGACAGTTGAGGTGGGGGAGGGGGCAGGCGACTAGGGCCTGGTCGGTAGCTGTTGCGGTCCGCTGCTATCACCAAGAGCTTGTCCCCGGGCTGGGAAGGGTGAGAAAGAGGAGAGGGGGGGAGGGGAGGGAGGAGGGGGAGTAAGAGGGGGGGGAGAGACACGAGGGTGGCGACTAGGCCCCGGCTGGTAGCTGTTGCAATCGGCTGCTATCACCAGGAACTTGTCACCGGGCTGAAAGGAAAGAGCGGGAGTGAGAGGAGGGGATTGAGGGGTAAGAGGGGGAAAGAACCATGAGTGTGGCTGGCTGGGTTTTAGTCGGTAGCTGTTGCGATCGGCAGCAATCACCAGGAGCTTGTTGCCGGGCTGGTAAGGGGCACAGAGAAGAGGAGAGCAGAAGAGGGGGGGAGAGGTGGGGAGGAGAGAAGAGGTGGAGGGGGCTGCGAGGGCAAGTGTGGCTGATTTTGAGGCGCCTCAAAACTAGAAGAGGTGGAGGGGGCTGCGAGGACAAGTGTGGCTGATTTTGAGGCGCCTCAAAACTAGAAGAGGTGGAGGGGGCTGCGAGGACAAGTGTGGCTGATTTTGAGGCGCCTCAAAACTAGAAGAGGTGGAGGGGGCTGTGAGGACAAGTGTTGGTGGGCCCCGGACGGTAGCAGTTGCGATTGGCAGCAATCACCAGCAGCTTGTCTCCAGGCTGGTGAGGGCGAAAGGGGGGGGGGGGGGGGCAGAAGTCATCAGCAGAGAGGGATGTGTGTGGTTGGGGCCCGGTTGGTAGCTGCTGGGTAGTTGTTCTCTTGCTCTCTTGCTCCACTCTCCCGCTCTCCTGCTCTCCGCTCTCCCGCTCTCCCGCTCTCCCGCTCTCCCGCTCTCCCGCTCTCCCACTCTTTCGCTCTCCTGCTCTCCTGCGCTCCCTCGCTCTCGCTCTCGCTCTCGCAGATTTGTCGACAAGGAGAGACTCTGCAGGAAATGCTCGTCGACATAAAGCAGTCTCGTCGAAGTGACATTGTTGATGCTGCTCCTGCGAGTGGCGAATTTCTACAAGTGGCCTCTACAACAAAAGCGGTTTTCTGTCGAAGTGGACTGTGGCAGATTTCGGAGTGCATAATGAGAGAAGTAACATTAGAGAGAAAAGTGTTAACTAGAAAGGGAGCCAAGAGGCTCTAAAGTACAACCAAGGAGCAAGGAATGGTTGGAACGGAAGGCACTCCTATTGGCTACAAGAGTGGCCAATGGGAGAGGTAGCTTGGAGGGGAAGCAACCCCAAAGTGTGGTGGTTGCTGATTGGTGGAGCCTTGGGACCATTCGGTTGGAAAGTGCCAACCAAAGGACCAAGGCCAAATCCAATCTTGACCAACCAAATTTGTGGTTGGTGATCCCAACCAACAACCCCCCAATAACTTAAATGTCTACACCTCTTATTCTAGTCATGCATGTTATATATAATAATATATTACAACACAATCCCCCAACATGCATAAGACTAGAAGCCATGAATCAAGAGGCGGAAGGGGTGACAGGAGGGGTGAGGCCAAGGAGGCGGAGGAGGGAGGCGTGGGGGGCGAGGGGGAGAGCCTTGGTGAAGATATCGGCAAGATTGGCAGCAGAGGCAATCTTGCCCATCTGGAGGTGGCCGTCCTGAACGAGCTCGCGAATGAAGTAGTGGCGAAGCTCTATGTGCTTCGAGCGCCCGTGGAACATCGCATCCTTCGTGAGGTGGATGGTGCTGGCGTTGTCGCACAAGATGGTGGGACAGCGCTGAAGGGCACCAAGCTCCTCAAGAAGGAAAGAGAGCCAACGGGCCTCCTGAGCGGCCATGGTGGCGGCGTACAGCTCCGCTTCGCAGGAGGAGAGAGCGATGGCGGAGGAGCGGGTGGAACACCAGCTGATGAGGCCGCTACCGAGAGAAAAGCCATAGCCCTGGGAGGAGCGACGGTCGGGCCGAGAGTCAGCCCAAGAGGAGTCAGAGTAGCCGGTGAGGAGGGGAGGGGAGGGGCCACCAAGGGTAAGGACATAGTCCTTGGTCCCTCGGAGATAGCGGAGGACGCGTTTGGCCGCCTGCCAGTGTGTGGCATTGAGCTTGCCAGTACCAACAAAGCGGGCCAAGATGCTGATGGGGTATGCCAGGTCAGGGCGAGTGGAGACCATGGCGTACATGAGGGAGCCGATGAGCTCAGGATAGGGGTGAGGGGAGGAGGAAGGGGAGGTGGGAGGAGCGAGGTGGTGCCCAACACGAAGAGGAGTGGGCTGAGGACTGCCACTGGCCATGTTAAACCGCTCCAGGACCTGCTGCAGGCAGTGGCTCTAGGAGAGGGAGATGGTACGAGCTGCGCGGTGACGGGTGATCTCCATGCCGAGGTAATGCTGCAGCTCACGTAGGTCCTTGCACTTGAGTCGACTGCCGAGCTCGCGCTTGACGCGCTCGAGCTCGGCGGAGTCGGCAGTGACAAGGATCATATCGTCTACATAGACCAGGATGTAGAAGGGGGAGGGGGAGGAGCGAAGGAAGAGGCTGAGATCGGCCCAGCTCAGCAAGGATGGCAGCGAGCTTGGCATGCCAGTCCCTGGGGGCCTGCTTGAGGCCGTAAACAGGGCGACGCAGCTGCCAGACGGAATCAGGAGGGAAGGGGAGGTGGAAGCCTGCAGGACGCTCCATGAATATGAGCTCGCGAAGAATGCCCTGGAGGAAGGCATTGGAGACGTCCATGGAGTGGATCTCCATGTTGAGGCGGGCAGCGAGATCAAGCACTGCACGAATAGTGGCAGGCTTGGCGGTGGGAGAGAAGGTGTCGAAGAAGTCGACGGCGTAGCGGTGGGTGAAGCCTTTGGCGACGTAGCGGGCCTTGTAGACCGGCGGCTCGCCAGGCAGCTGCTTCACCCGAAACACCCACTTCCCTTTGACCACATTAGTGGTAGAGGGGGGACGGGGCACATCCACAAAGGAGGAGTTGGCAATAAAGTCCTCCAACTCCTTGAGGATGGCCGCGAGCCAGAGGTGGGCATCAGGGCACGCCATCGCCTCTTCGTACGTGCCAGGGACGAAGATGGCGGGGGCAGAGGTGAAGACGAAGACCGGTGTGCCAGAGAGGTCAGGGGAGATGGGAAGGAGGGAGGGATCATGGAGGTGGAGGTTGAGGAATTCCTCATGAGAGTCCTCAAGGAGGGAGGGGTGGAAGATGAAGGGGAGAACGACTGCTGCTGCTGCTGCCGTTGCATCTGCTGCTGCCACTGCTGAGGCCGCTACTGCTGCTGCATCTGCTGCTGCTGCTGCTGCTGCCGCTGCGGGTGAGGATGAGGGAGGAGAGACAGCTGCTGCCGATGGTGCTGCTGCTGCCGCTGCAAGTGAGGATGTGGGAGGAGGAACTGCGGCTGCAGATGGGGCTGCTGCTGCTGGGACTGCGACACTGGAGCTTGGAGTCAGGGTGGGACTGGTGTTTTGTTGCAAGACAGCCTGGAAAAGGAGGCGCATGAGAGGGGAGAGAGGAGGCAAGGTAGAGGAGGACAGGGTAACAGGAGGGGGGGCACCTAGGACTGCATTACGGGACCTGGTGTGGGGATACCGGGTGAGGATGGAACGAGCGGGAGGCAGGTGAGGAAGGGGCGGGGGGGGTGGGGGGAGGAGGGGGGAGGGGCGGAAGGGGCGGAGGAGGAGGAGTGGGCAGGAGAGGCAGGTGGGAAGAGAGGGTCAGGATCAAAGATGTCACCTGAGGAAGGAGGAGCACTGGGGGCTGAGGAGGCAGGGGGGGGCGGAGGTGGGGGGGGGGGAGAATGGGAGGGGGAGGGAGAAGAGGTGGGGGGGCAGTGTCAGACCAGGTAAGGGACCTAGGAGCGAGAGTGAGGGGGTCAGTGGCGGGAGGGGAGGAATAGTAGGGTGTGGACTCATCAAAGACCACATCCCGACTGCGGAGGAAACGACCTGAGGGAGGATGGAGGAAGAGGTAGTCAGGGGAGGCGAGCTTGCCCACTGCGCGGAGGCGATCCGAGGGGTGAATGAGAACATACGCCTTGGAGCCCCACACACGAAGGGAGGAGATATCAGACTTGTCTGACGCCCAGAGCTCGGTGGGAGTGGTGGAGGGGAGGATGGGGTGAGGGTACAGGTTAGTGAGGAGGGTGGCGTGAAGGGGGGCATAGCCCCACAGAGAAGGGGGGCAGGAGGCATGAACGAGGAGACACCGAGCAATCTTGGTGATCTCCCGAACACGGCTCTCAGCCACGCCATTCTGCTGGGGGGAGTGGGGAAGGGTGTGAGTCTGGCGAATGCCATGGGACTCACAATAGGAGGCTACCTGGCGGTTAAGGAATTCACCACCGCCATCGGAGTGAAGGCGGCGGATAGGGCGGCCAAAGTGAGTGCTAGCCTGCTCGAGCCAGGCGATGATCGCAGCCGGAGCGTCGCCCTTTGAGCGGAGGAGGGAGACGGAGGAATACCGGCTGTGATCATCGACCAGGACGAGCATGTAGCGATGGCCTTTGCGGGAGGGGGAGGGGTTGGGGCCCCAGAGGTCCATGTGAACAAGGTCAAGCGGCTTAGCGGCAGCGGAGGGGGAACTCCGATGGGGGAGCTGCTTGAGCTTGCTCTGGACACAGATGGAGCAGGGAGGAGCAGGGGAGGGAGGGAGGGGGGGAAGGGTGAGAGGGAGACCTCCAAGAGGCTCTAAAGTACAACCAAGGAGCAAGGAATGGTTGGAACGGAAGGCACTCCTATTGGCTACAAGAGTGGCCAATGGGAGAGGTAGCTTGAAGAGGAAGCAACCCCAAAGTGTGGTGGTTGCTGATTGGTGGAGCCTTGAGACCATTCGGTTGGAAAGTGCCAACCAAAGGACCAAGGCCAAATCCAATCTTGACCAACCAAATTTGTGGTTGGTGATCCCAACCAACAACCCCCCAATAACTTAAATGTCTACACCTCCTATTCTAGTCATGCATGTTGTATATAATAATATATTACAACACATAAGACCCTCTACTGAGGGTCCATCGCAAGGAGTGTCGTCTGCACAATTGCTCGCAGAACGCGCTTCTTTTGGCGACCCTTTGGCATAGTCGAAATTCGGCACGTGCTGCAGAAGGACCCGGGGCCAATTGGCGCGAGGGCCCATTTGCAGAAGAACTGCCGTCTGCGGAAGGTCTGCAGAAAGGCAGTTCGGAACCCTCTTTTGCAGGCGACCTCACTGCAGAAACGCAACTCGGTAGAAGCGCTACAGTGAAGCATCTTGGATCTCCCTTCGGTAAAAACGAATTTCTGATGCCAAGGGTTGCGTTCCGAAAGTGCACGAATCTCTACCCAACCCAACCACCCCTCCAAACTGCTCTCTTCCTCTCTCACAGATATGTACCTTTACCAGCCCCATTCCCCACGGCCTTTAGGTCGTTTCCGAACATAGTAACCTCGAAATCACTTAGGTTATAAGGTTAAGCCATGGCGACGCCCCTGAGTCTGCCTGGCGCCTCCGAAGCCTTGGCACGATGCTTATTTATAATGCCTAAGTCTATGTCTTCTGGTTGTTGTGCTGTCGAAGTGGAACCGTTTGCTCCACATCCCCCTCTTCCCCTCCCCCCCCCCCCTTTCCGCGGTGGTTTTGCCCCTGCCCGGATTTTTTTTTGCCTGCCCGGACTAGCGTATACGTAGCGTATACAAGGTCCCAATCTGAGCGTATTGCGTATATACGCCCATGGTGTTAGAGATAGGCTGCAATTCGGTTGGCACAACTTTGTGTTGGCAATTTGTTGGTTTTAGGGATACGCATATTTGTTAGGTTGGGTGTAGCTATGCTTTCATCCCCAACCTATCCCAACCCAATCCATCCCAAATCCTCACGATTTGGGAGGATTCCCTTGGGATTATCTCCGATTCTCCCTTATCCCTTCCCATCCTCTCCGATGCTTGGTACTTAAGGATGTATGCTCTTGCTCATTCTATCAATAAAGTTCTCAGTTTCTGACACATGGTGCAACTAAGGTTTGGGCTTGGCTTTGGCTTTGGGCTTGGGTTTGAGCTTGGTTTGAGATGAATTTGAATTTGGGTTCGAGTTTTTAGAGTTTAGGTTTGGAGTTTGAGTTTGGAGTTTGGGTTTGGAGATTGGGGTTGGAGTAGACATGGGCAACATGCCGAGTCAGGCTCGGCTCGACCCGGCTCGACTCGCCAAAAAGGCGAGTCGAGCCAGGTTTTTTTTTTTTTGCCGGCTCGCCCTGAGTCGAGCCGAGTCGAGCCAGTCGAGCCGCGCGGATCGGCTCGGCTCGTCGCAACTTTTTGGTCAAGCTGAATTCGAGCCGGCTCGTTTTCGGCTCGACCGCCGAGTCGCGCGGCTCGCCCGCAGGGGTCGAAATTCGACCCCCCTGGAAATCGAATCCCATTTCTGGTTTTCGATTTCCACAGCAACCCTAAGTGCTCCCCACAGCCTCCACGCCATCCTAGCATGCCTACGCTCCACTAATGTCACTCTTTAAGTTCAGTAAGGCATTTTTTAGTGTGTTTTAGGTTATAAGGGCATTGTGAAACTCGTTTTTGAGAAACACCAGCAGGCCATTAGTTGACCCAAAATCCACCAAAACGAGCGCCTTAGAAGTCTTGTTAAAATCTGCACAAGAAACGCCCTAGGCGAGTTGAGCCGAGCCGAGCCAAAGTCGAGCCGGCCCTTGGCTCGACCCTAAAACCCCGAGTCGAACCAGCCATTTTCGATCAGCCGGCTCGGGGCGAGTCGAGCCAGCTCGGCTCGACTTTTACCTGGCTCGTGGTCGAGTTGAGCCAGGCTCTGCATGCTGCCCATGTCTAGTTCGGAATTTGAGTTTGGAGTTTGGGTTTGGTGTTTGCGTTTGAGGTTTGGAGTTTGAAGTTTGGGTTTGGAGTTTGAGTTCGGAGTTTGGGTTTGGAGTTTGAAGTTTGGGTTTGGAGTTCGAGCTCGGGGTTTGGGGTTTGGAGTCTGGAGTTTAGGTTTGGGGTTTGGGTTTAGGCTTAAGGTTTGGAGTTTGCATTTGGGGATTGCATTTGGGGTTGGGGTTGGGCTTTGTGATTGGCTTTGGGTTTGGGTTTGGGTTTGGATTTGAGCTTGGCTTTGGGTTTGAGTTTGGGTATGGAATGGGGGTTGGGGTTGTAGTTTGGGTTTGGGTTTGGGTTTGGGTTCGGGTATGGCTTTGGCTTTGGCTCTGGGTTTTGGTTTGTTGGGATGGACCGAGTTGGAAGAGTCGAAGAGCTAGACATACCTCGATCAGGGTCCAGCTGGGGGGGTTCACAGGCACGCACCATATGCTGAACCTACAAAATATGAGTTTACTTTTGAGTCGACTCAAAAACCGTGTCACATGAGTTTGGTTTGAGCCGACTCAAAATCGTGTGATGAGTCTAGTTTTGAGTCGACTCAAAACCATGTGATATGAGTTTAGTTTATGTCAACTCAAAGAGTCAAAGATCAAACCTCGAACACAAGAGTCAAAGAGCTAGACATACCTCGTTCAGGGTTGAGTTGGGGGGGTTCACAGGCACCATCTGCTACACCTGCATCAAGTGCTGGTAGCAGCTTGTGTGGCATCATGAGCCCGCAGGGTTTGGCGGAGTCAAAGAGTCAAGGAGTCAAGGAGTCAAAGAGTCAAGGAGTCAAAGAGTCAAGGAGTCAAAGAGTCAAGGAGTCAAGGAGTCAAGGGGTTAAGGAGTTAAAGAGTCAAGGAGACAAGGAGTCAAAGAGCCAAGAAGTCAGAAAGCCACACGTACCTCTATGAGCGTCCAGCTGGGCGGGTTGACAAGCACCTCGCCCATGATACTAGCACCATCTGCAGCAGCAGAAGCTGCATCGGGTGCTGGTTGCTGCTTGGGTGGTTTCATGAGGCCGCAGGGGATGGCAGCGTCAAAGAGAAAGAGCGCATCACCAAAGGTGCGCCCCACTAGCTCAGGCCTGAGGGTGTGTGGGGGGAATTGGGTGTGTGGGGGGAATTGGGTGTGTGGGTGAACGAGGCACCGAGGGCACGGAGGGGCGTGGGTGTGGGTGGGCATAAGCGCATGAGTGCCCACAGGGGGTGCGTGGGTGTGGGTGGGCATCACTGAGTATGCGCCCCATCCCATTAACGCCCCATCCCATTAACGCCCCATCCCATTAACGCCCCATCCCATTAACGCCCCATCCCATTAACGCCCCATCTCTTTGACTTGTGATCCCCACCATCTCTGTCTCACCATTCTTTGAAGTAAGTCTTTTCAAAGTCCAGTAGGTCAGCCGTGACATCAGCAGTGCCGCGGTGCACAGCAGCAAACAGCAGCAACGGATTAGCATCAGCAGGTAGCCCTCATTGCATTCGCACAAGCATCCACTCACCATTCTTTGAAGTAAAACTCGTCATTTTCAAAGTCTAGCAGATCAGCCGTGACATCAGCAGTGCCGCGGTGCACAGCAGCAGACAGCAGCGTGCGCAGCGACAGACTTTCTGCAGCCACCGGCACCAGCCGCCTCATGCGCCCCGGCCGCTGCCTGCTGCTGCTGCTGCTGCGGCCACTGGTAGAAGGGGGTGCTTGAGCGTTGGTGGGTGGGGCGAGGAGGGTGCGGTGCAGGCGCTGCAGCAGCCGCACGTTGGAGAGGGACGACAACTCTGCAATGATGTCAGCGCTGATGTCAGCACGGTTGGCAAGGGCGAGGCTGGCTTGGATCACCTGAGGGGCAGAGACGATGGGAGGGGTGGGAGGGGTGGGAGGGATGGGAAGGATGGGAGGGATGGGAGGGATGGGAGGGATGGGAGGGATGGGAGGGTTGGGAGGGATGGGAGGGATGGGAGGGATGGGAGGGATGGGAGGGATGGGAGGGATGGGAGGGACGTGTGAGTGTGAGAACGGATATGTGCGTGACCTGGTTTGTTCGCCAAGGGGGCTGCGGGGGAAAGCGCATGATGGGGGGTAAAGGGAAAGCTCGTGGGCGGGCCCAGTGTGCTCCTCGAGCGGTGTGCTTTACGGCTGGAGTGCTTTTCCTACGGGGTGCTTTACGGCCGGAGTGCTTTTCGGCCAGAGGGCTTTTCGGCCGGAGGGCTTTTCGGCCGGAGGGTTTTTCTGCCGGAGTGCTTTTCGGTCGGAGTGCAATTTGGCCGGAGTGCTTTCCAGCCGACGGAGTGCTTTCCGACCGGAGTGCTCTTCGACCGGAGTGCTCTCCAACCGGAGTGCTCTCCAACCAGAGTGCTCTTCGACCAGAGTGCTATTCAACCGGAGTGCTCTCCGACCGGAGTGCTCTTCGACCGACCGGAGTGCTCTCCGACAAGCTCTTCGACGGACCGGAGTGCTCTTCGACCGGAGTGCTCTCCGACCGGAGTGCTCTTCGACCGGAGTTCTCTCCGACCGACCGGCGTGCTTTCCGACCGGAGTACTTCCCGACCCGAGTGCTTTCCGACCCGAGTGCTCTTCGACCGGGGTGCTCTTCGACCGGAGTGCTCTCCGACTGGAGTGCTCTTCGACCGAAGTGCTCTTCGACCGGAGTTCTCTCCGACCGACCGGAGTGCTTTCCGACCGGAGTGCTTTCCGACCGGAGTGCTTTCCGACCCGAGTGCTCTCCGACCGGACTGCTCTCCGACCAGAGTGCTCTCCGACCGGAGTGCTCTCCGACAGGAGTGCTCCCCGGCCGACCGGAGTGCTCTCCGGCCAACCTGAGTGCTATCCGACCAGAGTGCTTTTCGACCGAAGTGCTTTTCGACCGGAGTGCTCTTCGACCGACCGGAGTGCTTACCGGCCGGAGTGTTTTCCAACCCGAGTGATTTCCGACCGGAGTGCTTTTCGACCGGAGTGCTCTCCGACCGGAGTGCGCTCTAACCAGAGTGCTCTTCGACTGGAGTGCTCTCCGACCAGAGTGCTCTCCGACCGGAGTGCTGTCCGACCCGAGTGCTTTCTGACCGGAGGACTTTCTGACCGGAGTGCTCTCCGACGGGGGTGATCTCCGACAGGAGTGCTCTCCTACCGGATTGCTCTCCGACCGGAGTCCTCTTCGACCGGAGTGCTCCCCGACCGACCGGAGTGCTCCTCAACCGACCGTAGTGCTCTCCGACCGTAGTGCTTTTCGACCGGAGTGCTTTTCGACCGGAGTGCTTTTCGACCAGAGTGCTTTTCGACCGGAGTGCATTTCGACCGGAGTGCTCTCCGACCGGAGTGCGCTCCGACCAGAGTGCTCTTCGACCGGAGTGCTCTTCAACCGGAGTGCTCTCCGACCGGAGTGCTTTCCGACCCGCATGCTTTCCGACCGGAGGGTTTCCGACCGCAGTGCTCTCCAACCGGAGTGCTCTCCGACCTAAGTGCTCTCCGACCGGAGTGCTCCCCGACCGGAGTGCTCCCGGACCGACCGGAGTGCTCCCCGACCGAGCGGAGTGCTCTCCGACCGGAGTGCTCTCTGACCGGAGTGCTTTTCGACCGGAGTGCTTTTCGATCAGTGTGCTTTTCGACCGGAGTGCTTTTCGACCGGAGTGCTTTTCAACCGGAGTGCTCTCCGACCAACAAGTTTTCCACGCCGAGTGCTTTCTGACCGGAGTGCTTTCCGACCCGAGGCGCTCTTCGACCGGGGTGCTCATTGACCAGAGTGCTCCCCGACCGACCGGAGTGCTTTTCGACCGGGCCGGAGTGCTTTTCGACCGGATTACTCTCCGACCGGAGTGCGCTCTGACCGGAGTGCTTTTCGACCGGAGTGCTCATCGACTAGAGTGCTCTCCGACCAGAGTGCTCTCTGACCGGAGTGCTTTCCGACCTGAGTGCTTTCCGACCGGAGTGCTCTCCGACCGGAGTGCTCTCCGACCGGATTGCTCTCCGACCGGAGTGCTCTCCGACCGGAGTGCTCTCCGACCGCAGTGCTCTTCGACCGGAGTGCTCCCCAACCGACCGGAGTGCTCTCCAACCGACCGTAGTGCTCTCCGACCGGAGTGCTTTTCGACCGGAGTACTTTTCGACCGAAGTGCTTTTCAACCGGAGTGCTCTCCTACCAGCAGACATGGGTATATCGCATCGCATTTTATCGCATTTTGCGATTGCGATTTTATTTTTTAAAAGTAAAGAATCGCAGCGATGCGATGCGATAATATCGCGCGATTTTTGCGATATCGCGCAGTTATCGCGGATTTTCCAGCGCGATATAACGCGATATGCGATATTAAAATATCGCGCAACATACATCCGCATATCGCGTCGCGGAATTGCGCCAGAAAGGGGGGGGAACATGGGCGTGGGCCTTGAACTTAGCAAAACAAAAATTAGGGTTCTCTGGTTGTAATGGCGTACGGAAATTGTGCGCGGCTGTTTGGGGTTGGCGTAATTGACGGGGAGGTGTTTGTGAGGAGCTTGGAGAGGACAGGTTGGAAATTCTAGTTGAAAAGGAGTGCACTGCGGTTGAGGGAAGGGAGTTGGTTGGAGGTTCAAAATTTGACATGGGCGGTGGTGGATGGAATGTGGTGGTGTGCGGTCAAAGGGATTTAGGGGGTTGATTGAAATCTCGACCCCCACTAAGTCAATTGGTTGGAAGTCCAACCAATTTCCACCACTTCAACCGCACTACATTCCTCCACATCTACGGAATCCAACCCCTACCCCTCTAACACGCTTTACATCAGAGAGGGGCTACGCTATCCCATTCTCCCGTTAAACTTCACTCACCTAGTTCCTCGCGCACCTAGGAAAGTCGGCCTTGTCATTCTGCTTTTCTCCTCCGACCCCTAAATGCGATGCGGTATTAAATCGCATCGCGCGATGTATCGCATTCATGGGTGCGATATTTTGTAACATCGCACCCTAAAAAGCGATATGCGATTTCAAATTTTGAAACAGAATATCGCAGCGATGCGACATCGCATCGCTGCGATATCACGCGCGATAAGACAAAATGCGATGCGATATCGCATCGCATCGCATTTTAACCATGTCTACCGACCAGTGTGCGCTCTGACCGGAGTGCTCTTCGACCAGAGTGCTCTTGAACCGGTGAGCTCTCCGACCAGAGTGCTTTCCAATCGGAGTGCTTTTCGAGCGAAGGGCTTTCTGACCGCAGTGCTCTCCGACCGGGGTGCTCTCCGATCGGAAAGCTCTCCGACCAGAGTGCTCTCCGACGTGAGTGCTCTCCGACCGGAATGCTCCCTGACCGAAGTGCTCCCCGACCGACAGGAGTGCTTCCCGACCGAACGGAGTGCTCTCCGACCAGAGTGCTCTCTGACCGGGGTACTTCTTGATCGGAGTTCTTTTCAACAGGAGTGCTTTTCGACGGGTGTGCTTTTTGATCGGTGTGCTTTTCGACCGGAGTTCTTTCGAGCAGAATGCTTTTCGACCGGTGTGCTGTTCGACCGGAGTGCTCTTTGACCGGAGTGCTTTCCGACCGGAGTGTTTTCCGACCCGAGTGGTTTCCGACCCGAGTTCATTCCGACCCGAGTGCTTTCCGGCCGGAGTGATTTCCGGCCCAGTGCTCTTCGACCGGGGTGCTCATCGACCGGAGTGCTCTCCAACCGGAGTGCTCTCCAACCGGAGTGCTCTCCGACCGGAGTACTCTCCGACCGGAGTGCTCTTCGACCGGAGTGCTCCTCGACCGACCGGAGTGCTCTCCGACCGACCGGAGTGCTTTTCGACCGGAGTTTTTTTTTTAAGAGGTAGTGCATTTCGACCCGAGTGCTTTTCGACCGTAGTGCTCTCCGACCGGAGTGCGCTCCGACCGGAGTGCTCTTCGATCGGAGTGCTCTTCAACCGGAGTGCTCTCCGACCAGAGTGCTCTCCGACCGGAGTGCTTTCCGACCCGAGTGCTTTCTGACCGGAGCACTTTCCGACCGGAGTGCTCTCTGACCGGGGTGATCTCCGACCGGAGTGCTCTCCGACCGGATTGCTCCCCGACTGGAGTGCTCTCCGACCGGAGTGCTCTTGGACCGGAGTGCTCCCCGACCGACCGAAGTGCTCTCCGACCGACTGTAGTGCTCTCCAACCAGAGTGCTTTTCGACCGGAGTGTTTTTCGACCGGAGTGCTTTCCGACCGGAGTGCTTTCCGACCCGAGTGCTTTCCGACCCGAGTGCTTTCCGACCCGAGTGCTTTCCAACCCGAGTGCTTTTCGACCGGAGTGCTTTCCAACCCGAGTGCTCTTCGACAAGGGTGCTCATCGGCAGGAGTGCTCTCCGACCGGAGTGCTCTCCGACCGGAGTGCTCTTCGACCGGAGTGCTCCCCGACCGACCGGAGTGCTCCCCGACCGACCGGAGTGCTCCCCGACCAACCGGAGTGCTCTCCGACCGGAGTGCTTTTCGACGGGATTACTCTCCAAACGGAGAGCGCTCCGACCGGAGTGCTCTTCGACCGGATTGCTCATCGACCGGAGTGCTCTCCGACCAGAGTGCTCTCCGACCGGAGTGCTTTCCGACCCGAGTGCTCTCCGACGGGAGGACTTTCTGACCGGGGTGCTCTCCAACCGGAGTGCTCTCCGACCGGAGTGCTCCCCACCGGATTGCTCTCCGACCGGAGTGCTCTCCGACTGATCGGAGTGCTCTCCAACCGGAGTGCTTTTTTACCGGAGTGCTTTTCGACCAGAGTGTTTTTCAGCTGGAGTGCTTTTCGACCGGAGTGCTTTTCGACCGGAGTGCTCTCCGACCGGACTGCTTTTCGGCTGGAGTGCTTTTCGACCAAAGTTCTTTTCGACCGGAGTGCTCCTCGGTGGGCTGGAAAAGCCTGCAGGGCGCGCAGGGTAAGTCCTTGAGGTGAATCGTAGTAAGTGATTATTAGCAGACAATTCCCATATCATATTGCAGCATGCCGGACCATGGTGCACGACACCACCGCACAGCACACGATGGTAGACTCACAAATGCATCGGCTTGAGAGGGGTCAGAGACAGGCGGGGAGAGCAGCACAATGGAGCGAGCAGCATCCGCAGCACAGCGTGCCAAGTCCTCCGAGTGGAAGGGCGAGCCGGTGCGCGTCACAATCTGAAGGGGGAGAGAGTATGAGATGGGAGAGAGCACAAGATGGGAGAGAGCACGAGATGGGAGTGAGCTCAAGATGGGAGAGAGCACGAGATGGGAGAGAGCACAAGATGGGAGAGAGCACGAGATGGAAGAGAGCACAAGGTGGGAGAGAGCACGAGGTGGGAGAGAGCACAAGGTGGGAGAGAGCACGAGGTGGGGGAGAGCATGAGATGGGGGAGAGCACGAGGTGGGAGAGAGCACAGCAGAGATGGGATGGGTGAGAGACAAGCATCAGCACCACAGCGCGCCAAGTCTTTTGAGCAGAAGGGCGAGGCGGTGCGAGTCACAATCTGCAGGGGAAAGAGGGGGCAAGGGAGAGCGGGAAGGGGAGATGAGAGAAGGGGGAACGGGAATGAGGGGAGATGAGAAAGTAGAATCAGCACCGCAGCGCACCAAGTGCTCTGAGTTGAAAGGGGAGCACCAAGTGCTCTGAGTTGAAAGGGGAGCAACAAGTGCTCTGAGTTGAAAGGGGAGCACCAAGTGCTGATGCCTCAAAAGTTTCGATTATACTGCTGCTCCCTTCTATCATGGCTAACAACGCCGGCTGGAGTCAGTGTCTGATGGGAGGGACCAAAGGACATAGATGGGACCAAAGGACATAGATGGGACCAAAGGACATAGATGGGACCAAAGGACATAGATGGGACCAAAGGACGTAGATGGGACCAAAGGACATAGATGTGACCAAAGGACGTAGATGGGAGGTAGGGTACGGGAGAGAGGCTTTCAATAGACCGATCACCATAAGAGCATGTCGCGCAAGGCCTTTGAGTGAATGGTCGAGCGACTTGTGAGCCTCCTCTTTGCTGAACTCACCTATCCGCCTCCTGTTTGCTGAACTCACCTATCCGCCTCCTGTTTGCTGAACTCACCTATCCGCCTCCTGTTTGCTGAACTCACCTATCCGCCTCCTGTTTACTGAACTCACCTATCCGCATCCTGTTTGCTGAACTCACCTATCCGCCTCCTGTTTGCTGAACTCACCTCTTCGCCTCCTGTTTGCTGAACTCACCTATCCGCCTCCTGTCTGCTCATCTCACCTGCCTGCCGCCTGCCTGCTGCCTCTCGCTCTTGGGAATCACATCCAGCAGCGCCCTGTCCATCTCCTCCTTGCCCTGGCCGCCTGCCAGCATCACCACCAAGGAGCCTCTCTTGCCTCTCTTCTCAATCTCTACTCCTCTCCTCACTCCCTTGCCCTGCCTGCTGATCTCACCTGCCCGCCGCCGGCCTGCTGCCTCTCGCTCTTGGGAATGGCGTCCAGCAGCGCCCTGTCCATCTCCTCCTTGCCCTGCCCGCCCGCCAGCACCACCACGGCGCGGCTGCCATCGGCGCCCACCAGCTGCTGCACCAGAGGGATGGTGTGCGGCGTCCACCCCACCACCAGCACGTGGCCTCGCTCCATGACCCGCCCCTTGCCCTTGTTCAGGTCGTCCACTTGCTTCGCCACGCCGTCTGTTGCCACACCCACTAGTAACGCTAGCAGCAGCAGGCCTTTTATGGTGAGCACCACTGAGAGGATGCGCTTCCATATGGAGTCCTGGTGACGGTAATGCAGAGATGGGGCGGGGTGATGAGAGATGCAGTGAGATGAGAGCAGTGGGGCGAATGCTGTCAAACCCACTAGTAGCGCCAGCAGCAGCACGCCCTTGGTGGTGAGAACCACCAAGGATACTGGCAGTATGCGCTTGACAGCATGGTCCAGTCACAAGTGCGTATGCCTATCAAAGTACTTAGTCCATTTCTCAGCCCACCTGAGCGCCCTGCAGGCCTGGGTCCGAGAGCATGGTCCAGGAGATCCACACAGCCTCGTCTAGGGCACTGAGACAAACCCCGCTTGCAACAGTCAACCAGGTGCGTGGCATACAGGCAAGTCTCAACCTCAACCCGCTCACCTGCGCGCCCTGCTGGCCCGGGTCTGAGAGCATGGTCCAGGAGACCCACACAGCCTCGCCAAATGGCACGTCCTCATTGGTCGCCCTGGCCGCTGCGATGAAGGCAAAGGCGCCCACGAGCATGAGCGCCACCCAGAGGACTGAGAGCAGCACGAGCTGGAAGGGGGAGTGGTGGTGTGTTGGGGGAGGGGAGGGGGGGGAGGGGCAGAGGTGAAGGAAGGGGGACAGTAAAGCAAAGGCGTCCACGAGAATGAGAGCCACCCAGAGAACCGAGAGCAGGACGAGCAGAGTACAGGGAGTGGTGGGCGGAAGGCGAGGACGCAATGAAGGCAAACACTCCCACGTGAGCATGAGCGCCACCCAGGGCACTGAGAGCAAGATAAACTGCCGAGGAGAGACGAATGTAAATGAGCAGTGGGGGGGGGAGGGGTGCGGTGGGGGGGGGTGATTTGGAGGCCAGAAATCAGAAATGACGCAGCTGGTGGCCTAAGCTGGTGCTAGCACTGCAACATAAACAAAGTGGAGCGCAGATCATTTTTCTTGCTCACCTTCCCAGAGGGCTCTGTGGTGAGGAAGAGGTCGATGGCGTAGAGCGCCCTGTCCGTGATGCCCACGCGCTGCTGGGCCGACTTGAAGGCCGCGGGACTCGCTGTGCCGGGGGGGGGTGGGGCCAGCACGATCTGGGGGATGGGTGGAGGGATAAGGGGGATGGAGAGAGGGGGAAGGGGGAAGGCGGGGAGGAGGAAGGGGGGATACGAAGAGCCTTTAGATTGTGTGCCAGGCGGGGATGGGTCCAGCGCGATCTGGGGGATGGGCGGAGGGAGAAGAGGGGAGAAGGATAGATGGTTGGAGGGAGGGAGAGGGGATCGTGACAAGGGAGGAGAACGAGAGTGAATGTGGTGAGGTGGTGAGGGAGACTCTTCATCCTGCCTGCAAATTCCGATTCACTATGACTCTCCATCTCACCTGGCTGTTGGCAGCAGCGGCAGGGGGGGGGCGCAGCAGAGCAGGGAAGGGAGCACCGAGACCGAGGCGCCAGGAGAGGGAGGAGAAGAAGGTGGCCGCAGCTATGGCCGCCGCGAGCAGAGGGAGAAGAATGGCGCGAGGCACACTGCTGCTGGTGGTAGGCTTGGCGTTGAGTGGGGTAAATTCTGATGTGTGGAGTGCGGTGGAGTGCGATGGAGTGGGGTGGCTCATGCTGTCGTTGGATGCCTGCTGCTGCAGATGAGGGGGCAATGTTGAGAGAAAGGAATAGAAGAGCAGGGGAAAACTGGAAGACTGATAAAGATTCACAGAGTGACAGTATGCAAAGCATGGCATTGTTGGGGTGACACTGGAATGAGACAGACTGACATTGGAACGACACAGACTGACACGGACTGACACGGAATGACATAGACTGACAAGGAATGACACAGACTGTCACAGACTGACACAGAATGAGACAGACTGACACAATCTGACACGGAATGACACAGACTGACACAAGATGACACGGAAAGACACAGACTGACACGGACTGACACGGAACGACACAGAACGACAGAGATTAACACGGAATGACTCTGAATGACACAGGCTGACCCGGTCAAATGTACCTCCTTAGGACTGTCCGAGAATGCGCGAGGAGCCATGACGCTTCGCTGGCGACTCCAAGATGATGAAATAAACCGGGAGAACGACCTTCTTTCTAGCGGCGAACGCCTGATCATCCATTTCGTGGACGACGCTGGAGCTAACGTGGCGACATTCTCGAGATTGTGTGCGACATCGTGTGCGACACTGTGTGCGAATGGTCGCCGGCGATGCGAGTTCACGGAAGCAAGGCCTCGGCTTGGCGGCTGCACCGTTACGACACGCGGAAGCGCGAGGACCGACTCCATGCCGGCCTGAAGCTCTTATGACCGTCGCAATGCCGAAATAGCAATAAGTTACAATGTTACCAGCAGCGTCTGGGAACCAAGCGATAATAAGTGGGACTAGGAGCTCGTGACAGTCTTCAGAAACTGTTCCCGCTACGGTACAAAGCAGTCAAGATGGATACCTTGTCAAGATACCCGGTCAGGATGCCTGGAGGGATCACCACGAGAGAAATATTAAATTAGGTGCGTTGCGTCAGGATGGTGACTGCATCTGTAGTTTCTACATGCCGTGACAACTGTCAGAAACTGTGATGCATCGCACTCTCCTGCTCGCGGCAATGCTGGAAGTGCTTCTTCCAGCCTCGGTATTGCCGACCTGACGAGTTGGAGTGTTTCAGGAATCAGGAGGCAAGAGCCAGGCACCAGTGCTCGTGAAAAGCGGATCGAGAGGGATGGGAAGATTTTGCAGTCCATACTCCACATTTTCAGCCCCGCTTACAGCAGTGGGTGGCTTGGAGATGAAAATCTGTTATTCCCATTTCAATGTTACATGCATAAAAGAAGGCCCACTTTGGGCGAATTATCGCATAACGCTCCAAAAAAAGGAGAAGCGTGAAAACCATTCTCCGCGGTGCGATACCCTATTACACCGTGGTACAAGGTGGTACACTGTGAACGTACGAGTTAGACATGCCCTTATAGAAGTGAGAAGGGGGGGGGGCAAAAGCCCCAGTAGAAGAGGTCTAAACGATAGGGGCAATGATAAGCTGCTCCGTTCCCAATGAGGACTGTGGTTGCCACTGCATAACCTTATTGTAGTCGAGCAAACTACGACAGCAAGGAAGCAACGGTCGTAATGGTTGTGATGATCAGGAGACACAAGTGGTAGAGCAGGAAGCAGAGGATGAGCGCTCCGACGGTGTCTTCATTGTGGTAAGGTAAGAGAAAACAGCAGAGGAACGAATTGCCAACACGGGTTAAGGAAAGAGCTGAACACACGAAGGATTGAGATGAGACTCAATGGAGAAGGGCAGATTCTAGCCAAGGGGACGGGAGACAGATAATTAGAGAGAGGTGGAGGGGGGGAAGTGAGGGGACGAGACTGAGAGGGAAGGGGGTTGGGGAAGGAGGGAGCTGCCAGGATTTGGAGTGACAGTAATGAGAAAAGTAACAATGCAAGGAACGAACAACGAATCTAGAAATTGATAAGGGCCGTAGGGATAACGGAGGGAGGGTAGGGTGAGCTGGGTTGGGAGTGCTGGTGATCGCTGAGAGGATACTGACTAGGAGAACCTCCCACCAATCCAGGATGTAGAGGCCAAAGGTCACATTATACAGGGTAATCTTGCTGTTCACCCACGTGACTATTTGCCTCCAGGCCGTCCGCTGTTGATAATGCCGCCTCTGCATTGCCGCGAACGGCATCAGAAACACAGAAAGGCCTGAGAAGGATTGTGAACAGGGACGTTCTCTGGGATCATAAGTGATAAGCTGACATGCTAGACAACCCGTTAATACCAATGATTGGAGTGGCTTACCGCGAGATACTCCGAGTGAGCCTTGAACGCGTTTCTGTCTTCCAGAGGAATTTCGTCTTCACTAACTTCACTTCCTAGCCTCTCCTTCGAATCGGCCTCCATAAGTCCTAACCCAAACGACAAATCCACGTCTCTCGTCTCTGCGCTATGCGATCGCTTGAAGCTTAATGCCTACGGAGAAATGGCCGCGACTTATCTCTGGAAAATTGGGTATGGAACAAATGATCGCGACCGCCAGCAGGGCCAGCAGGGAACCGCGAAGTCACGATTAGTCGCACTTTAAATGCGCTCTCGATGCTTCTGTATTAGCATCGTAAGCCGTAACTTAGTCGCATGACCCCGTTCTCGGCTCCTCGCTTCAGCTTCGTTGAGCAAGAACGCAGCTTGGCCGTCCCAGGGAGGTCATTTGAAAAATACTATGCAGCGCCGTTCAATCTGACCATAGCTACCCTGCTTCAGGAGTATGATTTCAGTACTATGAACGTGACTAGTTGAGCCTGCTTCGCTGTCCGTACAGCTGCGGTCGCCAGAAAGTAAGTCAGGGTGAGGAGGAATCTAGGCTGAGGTGGAACGTGATGGGACAACTATGCAAGGGAAGAAAAATTCTGAAGGAACAAATCCGCGCCACAGGAGGATCCGTTATGCTACGTTATGCAAGAAGGCTTGGTGTTTCTTCCTCCTAGTCTTGCTTGAACCCCTGCTTGGTCCTAGGTTCGGTGATCACGGTTTTATCGAAGCCAGGCTCGGCAGTTCCCGCGCATACAAAACCGTCAGACAAAGCTTCGGTACTCGATACACACTTTCGCAATTGTGCAACAGTCACTGTTCAGCACCACACCGTAAACTTCTACAGTAATCAACATTTGTTTGTCGCCTTATTCCGAAATCCAGCAGCTAGCGTGGGCATTGGTATTGTTGATAGCCACAAGCACTGATAATTCCTCTTGTCAGGGCAGAGAACCCTGATTCCTAAGCGAGGCCACTGCGTCTAGCGCAAGCAGAAATAAGGCATCCAACGCGCATCGCGTGACTGGCGTCTATTGCGGAACGAGCTAGTTCAAGATCGGTCAAAGAGCTCTCGTTTCATCGCCTGAATCCTGTTCCGTGGAAGGCCAAGAGAGCGATGCGGGACGACGCTGACATGGAGGGTTCCGCGGATGGACAGCCGGACGCGAAGGCTAGCACATTATCCCCGTTTGTAGGCCAAGTCATGGTACGTTTAACGAATTATCGCATATTGCTTCAGCATCTCTTCGACGCTGAGTGCGACCAATCGTGACGTGGCGTTCCTTTTTTATCAAACCGGCGCCCTTTTAACGTTTCCGCCCTCTGTCACGTGACCTCCGGCGTGCAGCTCATTCTTAACATATTTCAAAAGAGGCAATAACGTAAAATAGTTATCGCCGTGCCATGTGGCGTGTGCGTGCAGGTGCCTGGGGATATAGCGGTGGATCTCAAATCGGTCACGTCTTCGGTGCTCAGAATCGGGCCGGGACTCAGACAGGTCCGTGATCCCCCCGCCTCGCTCAGACAGGTCCGTGATCCCCCCGCCTCGCTCAGACAGGTCCGTGATCCCCCCGCCTCGCTCAGACAGGTCCGTGATCCCCCCGCCTCGCTCAGACAGGTCCGTGATCCCCCCGCCTCGCTCAGACAGGTCCGTGATCCCCCCGCCTCGCTCAGACAGGTCCGTGATCCCCCCGCCTCGCTCAGACAGGTCCGTGATCCCCCCGCCTCGCTCAGACAGGTCCGTGATCCCCCCGCCTCGCTCAGACAGGTCCGTGATCCCCCCGCCTCGCTCAGACAGGTCCGTGATCCCCCCGCCTCGCTCAGACAGGTCCGTGATCCCCCCGCCTCGCTCAGACAGGTCCGTGATCCCCCCGCCTCGCTCAGACAGGTCCGTGATCCCCCCGCCTCGCTCAGACAGGTCCGTGATCCCCCCGCCTCGCTCAGACAGGTCCGTGATCCCCCCGCCTCGCTCAGACAGGTCCGTAATCCCCCCGCCTCGCTCAGACAGGTCCGTAATCCCCCCGCCTCGCTCAGACAGGTCCGTAATCCCCCCGCCTCGCTCAGACAGTTTCCGCGCTCGGACAGGTGTGAGCACCACTTGTGTGCCGTGGTTACAAGTTACCGCCACGTCGAGACTACGGGATTCAATTCAAGTGGTGCTCAGAATCGGGCCGGGACTCAGACAGGTCCGCATTCTCCTCGCCTTGCTCCTTGACACACCTGGGCCCCGGACAGGTGCTCGTTCTCCTTCTAGAGATAAATGCTATGCACAGAGATGCACATGCTAGCGACTATGTGACTAGCCTAGAGGTGCAATGCCCTCCTGCCCTTGCCACGCCCCTTCGTGTAACCCGTCTCCTTGCCCGTGGAGCAGGAGGGCGACATGGTGGTGGCTATGAGAGCAGGACGACTGAAACCAGCAGGGAAGAGGAAGCTGTGGGTGGACTCCTCGGTCAAGCGGGTGAGTGGGAGTGTGAGGGATGCGTGGGAGTGAGAGTGGTTTGGGGGGGAGAGAGCGGCGTGCAAAGAGGGTGGCTGCTGGTGGTTGCAACCAGCAGGGGAGAGGAAGCTGTGGGTGGACTCCTCGGTCAAGCGGTCGAGTGGGAGTGTGTGCGTGGGAGTGTGTGCGTGGGAGTGTGTGCAATTGTGCCCTGCAGATGGTAGGCAACAGCCCCTCCCTGCCCCTCCCTGCCCCTCCCTCCCTGCATGCGATGACCACCATCAGTACACGCCAGCAGTGGAGGAAGCCGTCATTGGCGTTGTCATTGATAAACACATGGAGGTATGGTCGCATGTGGCATCTCCCTGTTGTCACACTTGCAACAACCACACGTCACGCGCGACACATTGCACAGCACATGCCACACGCCACACGCCACATGCCACGCGCCACACGCCACATGCCACGCTCCACGTCCGACACATCGTGTGCGCGCACATGCAGACATTCCCCTCCATCCCCCCGGCCTCTCCCCATCAGAACCTCGATGTGGGCATCAAGGGTCCAGGCCTTGATGTGAACACGCACAGCACACACCACACACTAACGGCATCCACCACACTCCACGCCACGTCATCCATCATGTGCGCACACGCACACACAGAAACGTTCCCCTCCATCCCCCCGGCCTCTCCCCATCAGAACCTCGATGTGGACATCAAGGGTCCAGGCCTTTCCATCCTGCCAGCTCTCGCGTTTGAAGGAGCAACCAGAAGAAACCGACCTAACCTACAGGTAAGTACAGCCTCACCGCAGCCCACAGCTACAGGGTTGAGGGTTTTACAGCTCTATGGCTGATACACCTGTTCTCCTATTTAGTCCCACGGTTTTTGCATGCGGCTCGAGCCTGTAAGCAGGAAATTGTAAAACACGGGCAAACGGGACTTAGAAGGGGAAAACCCATAGTCAGAAATGACACTTGGTTACAAAATCTCGCTCATGCACTAGATTAGTTGCCTGTGCGACGTCACAGCTCTGAAACTCGCAATTGTCGAAATACAACTTGGTAGTTCGCTATCGTTCAGACTGCAGCCAATCAGGTTCAGTGTCAACGCGAGTCATGCTGAGAACCTGGTAGGTGAGATTGCAATTTGGACTGTTCCGGGTGGGACAATAGAGGGGAAAAGGTGTAGTCTGACCTCTGGTCGCCTCGCGTGTTTGTGGGGGAGGCTGGGAATGCTGGAGGCGCTTGGGGCGTTGTGTGGTGTGTATGTGAGTGTCCTTCTGGTGGGGGCATGTGTGCATGTCTGGTGGGGGCATGTGTGCATGTCTTTGCTGCATGCAGATCGGTCAGGCAGTTTACGCCCGAGTGGTCAAGACCCATAGGGACGCCGACCCGGAGCTATCATGTGTCGATGGTACGTACCATTGATGGTGTAGATGATATCATGTGTCGATGGTACGTACCATTGATGGTGTAGATGATATCATGTGTCGATGGTACGTACCATTGATGGTGTAGATGATATCATGTGTCGATGGTACGTACCATTGATGGTGTAGATGATATCATGTGTCGATGGTACGTACCATTGATGGTGTAGATGATATCATGTGTCATCGATGACACTTTGCCCTAAATTCCCCTCGCCGCCACCTCTCCGTACACCTCCCCTCGCCACCTCACCTCAATACGTGAAAAATCTCCCCGTCCCCTCCCCATTGACACCTCCCCATCTCTCCTACCCGTTATCCCAGTGAGTGGCCATTTAGCAGAGTTCGGTCCTATAGTAAGTAACCGGCTGTCTCGTTAATTCTCTCGCATATCCCCTTTCTGTCTCTCTTCCCCTCCCCTTCCCCTCCTCCCTTTCCTCTTCCACACCCTTTCATCCAGCCAGTGGCAAGGCGGCGGAGTTCGGTCCCTTAGTGGGCGGCCATCTATTTGACTGCTCCACTGGCCTCGCTCGTCTGTAAGCCATCCATGCGTCCAACTGCCCACACGTCTGTGATCTTGCCACTTCACATGGGCACGAATCTGACAGTGCAGGTGTCATTTACTCTTATTCACTTCTTATGGCTGCCAGTTTCCTTTCTCCTCGCGGATGTATGAGACCCACCAACCGCCTACTACTATTCTAGGACCCTTTTCCTGCTCTCCCCACTCTTCCCCCCCCTCCCCCCCCCCCCCCCCCCCCCCACACACGCAGTCCTCTTCTGGCCTAGCGCAAACCCTTCTTTCCGCCTTGCCCATGTTTTCATCCATTATCTGTGGTGTCTTGCGCTCAGGCTCTTAGCGACACCAACAGCTCCTGTGTTGAAGGCACTTGATGCAGCTGGCTTGGCGTTTGAAATCGCCGTGGGACTCAATGGAAGAGTATGGGTGAGTTGTGATGTTTGGCACTTTGTTGCTTGCTTTATTTTTACACCTCGCCATTGTGACTTGTCATGCTTGCTATGTGGTGGTGGTGAGGTGATGTTCCAGGTGAAGGGGGAGTCGATAAGGAGCACAATCCTTGTTGCAAATGCAGCCCAAAATGCTGAGTTTCTTTCTGCTGTGCAACAGCGAGCAATGGTGAAGGAACTAGTAAGGCTATCATCATAATGAGGCCTTCTTAGCTTAGGCTCCTCGAGTAAGGTTATATGTGCTGTAAATTGCATAAGAGCTTTCTCGCCCTCAGTGTATCATCAAAACTTTGCCCATCAAAACCTGGGAGTCTCAGCTCCTGCATGTCAGCAGCAGCGCGAAAAACCCAGACTGAATCCCGCTCCCGCCAAACCACCCTCCCGCTGGTTGCGCCAGTCCACTGGTCCCGCGCTCTCGTTTCCCCTTCTCCGCGTATCCGCCATCTTTGACTTCCCTTCCGCGGCTTCCCTTCCGCCCATTTCTTGGGAACTCTGTTGCGCCACCCTTCCAAAAGCAGAAAACACCTTCACTGATGGTGCCGTTGCGCTGATAGCATTGTTCCTGCCGCCTATTCAGCAAGTAGAGGTCCTTGGGTCTTTGTTGCACGCAGAGGGTTCATCCATCGATAGGATCTTGAGATTGGCCCAGATCCAACGGCCCTGGCCTTCCGTCTGTAGGAAGGGCTGTTATTTTTGCTGGGAAAGTTTTACCTCTCGGAGCGCTAGCAATGCGATCCATGGAGGGGAGGTTAAGAAGCCATGTGGAGCAGGAGCAGGAGAGAGTCGGGCTTCTGCCTCAGGGAGGGAGGCTTCGCCGTGAGCTTTGCCTTATCCGAGAGTTTTTCCTAAGCTGAATATCTCGCCCGGACTCTAAGGCTTCTCGTTTTATTGGTTACGGTCGGCCCGACAATATTCTTGTGGAAGCAGATCGGCTCCGATTCTGAGGCATTCGAGTGCGTTTGAGAGCGGAGAGCGCGACGAGGGGCTTATCTTGGGAGCAAGACGAGTGTCCAGACGTTCTTACGTTCTAAGAAAGTCGAACGACTCAGATCGTTTGATCATCCAACTTAATTTCAATCAGCCATGGCGACAGCAGCGGAAACCGCCAACGCCCAGAACATTCCTGCTGCAGCAGCTGCTGTTCCAGCACCTGAATCATCGTCGGCTTCATCGGCTTCATCGTCATCAGCCTCATCTCTCCCTTCACATCTAACCGCATCAACGGCCGCAATGTCAGGTTCATCTGCATCTCCATCCTCGTTAACAGCAGCATCGGGTTTCGCTACAGACTCCAGCGCGCAAGAGCAGTCGGCTCCGGACTCTTGGGAGTCGGACGATCTCGACGAGCGGTTGAAGCACCTGCAAATAGTCAAGCCCGTGACGCCTGTGACTACAACGAATGTCGAGAACGGCAGCGAGAGCAACCAGTCGAGCCAGCAACCAGCGCTCCAGCAATCGGCAACGACACCGCAGCAATCGGCGGGCCAGCAACAAGCGGTGGACAAGCGATTGGAGCTCGTCGATAGCTTTCTCAGAGAGGCTCTCGCGAATCCTCGCGACCGACTCACGAGTACGTTCACCCATGCCTGGCGGCTTTCATGTGCTTTGGAAGTATAGATGCAAGATCATTCTTCTTTTTTCTTTTTTCTTTTTTTGTTCCTCATGAAATGATGCTTGTTGTGCCTTGACTTGTCTTCGATCTTACAGCATGACTTGCTGCCTCTCTCGTATGTTTTCAACTCTCCAGTCCCTTCCTCCCATTCCAGTTCTCCGCATGGGAGCAGGACGTGGAGCGGTTTATCCGGAACCCCGGTGTCAAGGTCATGGAGTCTCAGCCACTGACGTCCCCCATCTCTGTTCTCGCTCTTCCTCCCTTTCCCCCCTCGCCTCCCCCCTGTCTCGCCCCCCCCCCGCGTCTGTTTTCCGCATGGAGCAGGACGTGGAGCGGTTTATCCGCAACCCCGATCGGAAGATTCTGGAGTTCCAGCCAATGTCGTTCCCCTTCCTCTGTTCTCATTCGTCCTTCCTCCCCCCCCCTCCTCCCGTCAGTTCTCCGCATGGAGCAGGACGTCGAACGGTTCATCCGGAACCCCAATCTCAAGGTCATGGAGTTTCAGCCAATGGCGTCCTCCTACTACCGCGCGGCGGCTCACCGCGTCGCACAGCACTACTCGCTCCAGACCTCCGCCGCCGACGCCGTTACTGCCGGCGGCGGCGAATGCGCCGTCGTCGTCGCGCGAAAGATTGGCGAGCTTCGCCCGCCTCCCGTCCGCCTCGTCGACCTCCCCCTGGGCCCTGCGGCCGCCGCCAATCACAGCATCGTCGCCAGCGGCGGGGACGGTGCGGAAAATCCCGCAGGTTCGGCGGGGTTTAAGCTGGCAATAAAGCGGAGGCCGAGCGGGGGGAGAGGAGGGGCTGCGGGGGATGGCGTGGAAGGGGGCGGAAGTTCCGCGGACGGGCAGGGGGAAGGCGCGGGAGTGATCCGATCTGTGGAGGAACGGAAGGAGATGTACAACCGGGCACGAGCGAGAATTTTCAATACTGCCCAAGTGGATGCTGTGGATAGCGAGGAGAGCGCGGGCAGCGCGGAAGGGGCAGGCGGAAAAGGCGATGCGGGGGGGAAGCACGAGAAGGAGGGGAAGGCAGGGGGGAAAGCAGGGTCGGAGGCAGGCGGAAAGGCAGGCGGAAAGGCAGGCGGGAAGGCAGGCGGGAAGGGAAGCGGGGAGGCGGGTGCGAAGGGAAGCGCAAAGGGGAAGGGAGGTCCTGAGGAGGAGAAGACAGGGGCGGATAAGCCCGGGGTATCATCTGGGGGGTCTCAAGGGTCGCACGGGCTCACCAAGAGCTCGTCTGGAGGGAGGAAAGGGAGGAGTGTGGCGATTCTGCGAGACAGGGAGAAGGAGAAGCAGGATCCGGACTACCAGCGCGGTTATGATCGGTTCTCACAGAGGTTCGATCCGGGGTTTGGTGTGCAGGCGCCAAACCCCTACGGCGTGCAGCCCATATACGCCCCTGTGGTCACGTATACCTCCGAGTTCCCCTCGCTTTCCCCTTCTGCGCCCACCAATGCTGCTGCGGCTGGGAACCGAACCGGGCGTGGAGGCCCGGTTGGGGGCGGACCTGCCAGGCCTGGAGGTGCGGGGCCAGGTCTGGCGCCCAACTCGTCTCCTCACGGACCAGGTCAATCCCCAGGCTCGGTGGGGGTTGGTTCGGCAGGGCTTATCCAACCAGGGTTTCCAGGGCTAGGGTTTGCTCCGGGTAATTTCCCCCCTGGCAACCTGCCCCCTGGCAGTATACCCCCGGGTGGTTTACCCATGCATTTTCAGCAGGTTCCTACACTTGGCCCTCCCCATCCTCTGAACGTGTGGCGGGCACATGCTGCTGCGGGAATGATGGGCATACATGGGCGCGGGGTCATGCCATTGCCCGGACCTGTTCCCGGACCTGTTCCCGGAGCTGCCGCTGGTCCGGTCCCATATGGACTGGTTCAGTCTTCTGGCTCGATGCCAGGCTCGGTAGGCTCACCCGTAGCAGGGGTAGGCCTGGGAATGACTGGTTCGGCAGCAGCAGCAGGAGCAGGAAGTGGGGTTATAGGGGGAGGGGCGGGGATGGTTGGAGCAGCAGCAAGGGGAGGTGGCCAGGGCTTTTCCCCAAACCTTCAGAGGGACGGTATTATGGGTCCAGGAGCAATGTCCGTTGCTGGTGCTGGTGCTCCCGTGAGACCAGGTCCGGGAGCAGGCTCGGGCCCGGCCTTTGCTCTAGGTATTGTACCCGGTCCAAATCCAGGCTTGGTTGGAAACCGAGGTATGGGTGTGCCAGGAGGTATGGGGTATGGGTTCGCGGGAGGAAACATGGTAGGGCCAGCAGGGGGGGTGGCAGGGCCGGGATTTGCTGCGGGGCAAATGGCGCGAGGTGGTGGGGGTGGGGGGATGCCCTATGTGGTGGGGGATGGGGGGGTAAATGGGGGAGGGATGGGGGGAGGGATGGGGGGTGCTGGGAAGGGAATGTCTAGCGGGCCGGAAGCAGTTGTAGGTGCTGGTAATGCTGCTGGTGGTGGTGGGGGGGGTGGTGTGCTTGGAGGGGGGCGGCGAGAGGTGGTTGGGCCTGGGGTTTACTCGTCTCCCATAAGCTCCCCTTACTTGCAACAGCAGCAGCAACAGCAATATCAACAGCAGCAGCAACAGCAACAGCAACAGCAACATCATTATCAGCAGCAGCAGCAACAACAACAGCAGCAGCAACAGCAATATCAGCAGCAGCAGCAGCAGCAGCAACAACAATATCATCAACAGCAGCAACATCAACAACAGATGATGCAACAGCAGCAATTGCACCAGCAGCAGCAGTGGAGGCAGCAGCAACAGCAACAGCAGCAGCAGCAGCAGCAGCAGCAGCGCTAGTGGCACCGTGCACTAGTGCTGTTAGAGCCAGGGCGGGTTGCGTCCACTGCATTGAGCAGGAACATTCAAGCGTTAACTCTTGCTACCTCAATGTTTTATCTCTCGACTCTTGACGCCATTTTATTTCTCCGTTTTCCTGGTTTGCTTGCGCTCGTTGGTTTTTCTTGCACACGAAGACCATTTTTCAAGTCTTAATGGCTGATACCGCATGCTCATTGCTAAGGCCTTTGTAGGGTGTCTTAGCGCGTATTTCTCAAGCCCTGGCACCTTTTTGCAGACGACAGCCCACAAATGCCAACGACCTCCGTGGGTAGCAGATTTGTGTTGGTGTGAATGATCCACCTGAATGGGAACCCTGCGCACCCCGCGGATTCTACATTCAAGCTACGCTGTCGCGTGGACTGCGTGGCAAGCATCACCCCGCCTGTCGCGCATTCGCCCGGATGACTGGACATTGCCCAGCAAACCCTTTCTCTTCGAAGCGAAGGGGTGCGATCTCTTACGTCATGGCGTTTCGCCCGGCCTTTGATGGTCAGATTTGTCAACTCCGACCGACCTATCACGGCTTTTCTTGTAAACCATTAACTTGTCGAACATCGCTCGTCGTCCAAAGGTAAATCGTGTCGAACGATACTACTACCGGTGCTATCCTTGCAGCCTGAGCGCAAGTTTCGTGCGCAAGTATCGTACAAGTGTCATGGAACCAGCAGTCCGGCAGAAAGGGCACCACAGGCGCAATCCCTTGTGCGTGCTTGGCCTGCTGACGGTGGCCGCAATGGGAGCTGCTGCGGCTGCCACGGGGGCGTTTTCATGGGCATCGCAATCGGGTGACGAGAAACGGTGTGAGGAGGATCGTTCTGATGGCGGAGGGAATGCGTTGAGGGTGGAAAGGGCGAGTGGAATATTGCAGCAGGCGTTGCTCAATTTTGCGCCGCGAGTAGTTTTTTTTTACGGGCAGATTGATCTTTATTCTGGTGCTGAAGCGAAGGCAGCTGACACAATTGACGTAATTGACGCACCTGTGTCAGTCGACGCCATTGCAATCACCAGTGGTGAAGCTTTTGTTTCTCTTTCAGAATCTGCTGCTGGAGCATACTGGTACCCGTAAATCGTGATAGATAATTTGACTGAAAATCGTGTGGAGGAATGGACTAGATTTGGGAGGCGCATGAGAATGGAACGACGAACGAAAGAGTGCGTGAGCAGAACGAGGCTAATTTAGATATGTTCTGATTAGAATGAATTGAAACACGCCCACTATTTCTTCTTAGCTGCAATTTCGGAAGTGGAGTGGACTTGTCATGTCACCGTATTACTCAGCTAAATTACTTGTGAGGTGTACTGCAATTTAATGCTTTGTAATATCGCTGCTTTTTGCTCAGCGACGTGGCATGCGCTGTCGCGAAATTATGTAGAGGAGCGAATGGCTGATAGCCGCGGCTATCGTCCGCCTCAGCATAGGTCCATTCCACCTCATCGTCATGCCCATCGCGCAGGCGAAGTTTCTCTCATCGCGATGCCTCGCGAAATTCTGGGCAATGAGTTACCGTTTTTCGTGGACTGTCGGTAGGGCCGAAGATGCCTATCACGGCTCGAAGAGCCACACAGCCCGTCGTTGTGAATATTCTTCGCGTCTTGATCGGTAGGAACACATACATGCAGCACCTTGCGGCGAATTAGAATAACTAGCGTCCATCATTTTCAGTCAGTGACGTCGAAATTACTGTACGACGTACTATTCATGCGGTTTTAATTTAGCTAGTATAATCCCGGTACCGGCCTAGGGCACAGGCAGAGAGACTGCATAGGGCGAGCCAGCGGTGAGGAAACTACGAGAAGTCAACTGGGAAACTTAGGCTGCGCGGTTTAAGAAGGCGTCTCAATGGAAACAGGACTTTACCAGTAGTTAATTTGACGCAACAACACGGCTACCTTTCACATACGGCTACCAGTAATTCGCCGGTCGGAGAGATTGGCTCTCTCGAATGGACAGCGACGAGAATTCCGGAGGCCTCTTCTTCGGCCACGTGGACGCTGACGAGGACTTTTCGGGGCCGCCCATTCCCATCGCCGCAACTGCCGCCGCGACAGGCGCCGCAAATGGTGCCGCAACGGGCGGCCCCAGTTGGGGGGCAGCAGGCGTGGCGAAGAGGCAGGAGGTGCTGCTGCCGGAGCAGGCGACGCTGATTCGCGAGTCGTACGCGCGGATCGAGCAGGACCGGAAGCAGCACGCGCTTATTATGTACCTCACGTGAGTTGACTGACGTTGACTGGCGTTGACTCGCAACGTCCTGCATTGACTTGAATTTACTTGAATTGACTCGAGTCATGCGCGCTAAGTGAGAGGGTCAGGAAGCAACACGGACCGGTCATGTACCGCACGTGAGTGGCGCTGGCTTGACCTGCGTCGAACCGGTTTGCAGGTCAACTCAGTGCCACTCACGTGACGCTGACATTTGAGACTTCTGAAAAATCACCTGCAGCACTGCATTGCTACGCTCTGACACAGCATTGAGGGGTCTATTTTTGAGGCGCCTCAAAAGGAGACTACTACGCTCTGACACAGCATTGGTGTGCATCCATGCCGTGCCACATGCGTTGGCGTGCATCCATGCCGCGCCACATGCGTTGGCATGCATCCATGCCGCGCCACATGCGTTGGCGTGCATCCATGCCGTGCCACATGCGTTGGCGTGCATCCATGCCGTGCCACATGCGTTGGTGTGCATCCATGCCGTGCCACATGCGTTGGCGTGCATCCATGCCGTGCCACATGCGTTGGCGTGCATCCATGCCGTGCCACATGCGTTGGTGTGCATCCATGCCGTGCCACATGCGTTGGTGTGCATCCATGCCGTGCCACATGCGTTGGTGTGCATCCATGCCGTGCCACATGCGTTGGTGTGCATCCATGCCGTGCCACATGCGTTGGTGTGCACCCATGCCGTGCCACATGCGTTGGCGTGCATCCATGCCGTGCCACATGCGTTGGCGTGCATCCATGCCGTGCCACATGCGTTGGTGTGCATCCATGCCGTGCCACATGCGTTGGCGTGCATCCATGCTGTGCCACATGCGTTGGTGTGCATCCACGCCGTGCCACATGCGTTGGCGTGCATCCATGCCGTGCCACCTGACCCCACTCTCCCTTTCCCATAGCTCACACTCAGCATCCCTCCAAACCCGCCATTCTTCCCTCCCTCCCGCCCTTTGCCTTGCTGCCACGTCAGCATCTTTGACATCTGTCCCGAGGCGAAGCCACTCTTCTCCATGGTGCGAGATTCAAAGGAGCCCGCGCCAGTCAACCCACGGCTAGAGGCGCATGCGAGCCTGGCTTTCACCATGGTATGCAGGGTATGGAGGGCAATGGGGTATCATGGCACCGTGTGGGTATCATGGCACGGTGTGGGTATCATGGCACGGTGTGGGTATCATGGCACGGTGTGGGTATCATGGCACCGTGTGGGTATCATGGCACCGTGTGGGTATCATGGCACCGTGTGGGTATCATGGCACCGTGTGGGTATCATGGCACCGTGTGGGTATCATGGCACCGTGTGGGTATCATGGCACGGTGTGGGTATCATGGCACCGTGTGGGTATCATGGCACCGTGTGGGTATCATGGCACCGTGTGGGTATCATGGCACCGTGTGGGTATCATGGCACGGTGTGGGTATCATGGCACCGTGTGGGTATCATGGCACCGTGTGGGTATCATGGCACGGTGTGGGTGGGTGCGAGACTCCAAGACATGGCAAGGGGCCGGCCCCAGTCAACCCGTGGCTAGAGGCGCACGCCAGCCGGGCATTCACCATGGCTGGCATTCACCATGGCTGGCATGCACCATGGCTGGCATGCACCATGGCTGGCATTCACCATGGCTGGCATTCACCATGGTTGGAACGATGGCAAGCATTGGCGCAGCTTGGGTGCCTTCACTAGCCATTGCCTCTCCATGCTGCCGCACTTAAATGAGCCAGGTCACTTCGCGGTTGGAGGCGCACGCCAACCTGAAGTTCCCATGGTTGGTTGCGTAGCTTCATTCTGGTGTGCTCAGCTTGGGTGCCCTCACTACTCTTGCTACATTCTCTTCTTCCTGGTGCAAGGCTGCAAGGAGCCCGCGCTGGTCAACCCGCGGCTAGAGGTGCACGCCAACCTGACTGACATTCACCATGGTGGGCTGCATTCGTCGTTTACTGTCTCCCTCGCTCTCCATTCGCTTATTCCCTCACCCCGAGCAGGGGGCCAAGGCAATACTGTGCGCCTACCCTGTGCTCAATACCCCCCACATCCCCCTCTCGTCCTCGCCCCTAGTTCCCCCACTCACCTAGATGTGCGAGGCGTTCAGCAAGTGGGCCGACAGGGACCAGACCAGGTGGCCAAGGCAGCATTCAAGCTGCCCCACTGTTCACTCCCCCTCTTCCCCCTCCCCCCACCTTCCCCTCCTCACCCCTGCCACCCGTCTTGTTTTCCTCACCCCCCTTCTAGATGTGCGAGGCTTTCAGCAAGTGGGACGACCCCGACCAGGTGGCCAAGGCAACGCCCTTCTTCAAGGCGCTGGGTGGTAGACACCTCAACTACGGCATTGATGGGGAGGACTTCCCGGTGAGAGGGGGGAGGTGTACGTGTGGGTGTTGGAGGATGTGTGCATTGGGGGTGCGGGGACCGGGGGTGCTGGGCGGGTGGCATCTCAACTACGGCGTCGATGGGGACGACTTCCCGGGGAGAGGGGGGAGGTGTGGGGTAGGAAGAATGAGTGATGGGGGACGGGAAGCGGAGCGGGGGGGGGGGGGAGAAAGCAATGGTTTGGGGACCTGGCGGACACATGGCGTGCGGCCTTTCTCCCTCACCCCTTGCTCCCTCACCCCTTGCTCCCTCACCCCTTGCTCCCTCATCCCTTGCTCCCTCCCTCCCCTTCTCATGCAGATATTCCGCACTGGCTTCATGAAGGCACTGCAGAGGGCGTTCGGGGAGGAGTGGGTTGGGGACCTGGAGGGCGCACGGTGCGCTGCCTTTGAGAGAGGCGCTGCCTTTGAGAGGGGCTGCCTCATTGGATCTCCCTTTCACTTTCCCCTACCTCTCACACTCACACTCCCAACCCCTACTCTCCCAACCCCTACTCTCACAACCCCTACTCTCACAACCCCCCCTCTCTCCCTGGAGCAGATATTCCGCACTGGCTTCATGAAGGCACTGCAGAGGGCGTTCGGGGAGGAGTGGTTTGGGGACCTGGAGGGCGCGTGGTGTGCCGCGTTTGACATCTTAGAGAGCATGGCATCGAGCGGCATGGCTGAGAAGGGCGGGAAGAAGGTCATTCCTCCCGCTGCATTGGAGATACTGGAGAAGCAGCAGCAGCAGTTGTAGCAGCAGCAGTTGTAGCAGCAGCAGTTGTAGCAGCAGCAATTGTAGCAGCAGCAGTTGTAGTAGCAGCAATTGTAGCAGCAGCAGTTGTAGCAGCAGCAGTTGTAGCAGCAGCAGTTGTAGCAGCAGCAGCTGTAGCAGCAGCAGTTGTAGCAGCAGCAGTTGTAGCCGTAAGAAAATGGGACTTTGATTGAAAAAAATGAGAGAGGGCATACAAGATTAAGTACTAACCATAGGAGAGGGTTGGAAGGGATAAGGGGAATCGGAGGGAATCCCAAGGGAATCCCAAGGGAATCCTCCCAAATCATGGGGATTTGGGATGGATTGGGTTGGGATAGGTTGGAGATAAAAAAGCTACACCCAACCTAACAAACATTCCTAACCCTAAACAAACAAATGACTAACACACAAATGTGCAACATTGCAGCCTATCTCCAACACACCCCCTAGGCTGCAACAGCTGAAGTCATCGGGACGCCAATACCCATAGCACGGAGGAGGCGGTAGTGGTCACGGCGTCCAAGAGACTTGGTGAACAGGTCTGCGAGGTTGCAGTAAGAAGAAATGTGCTTCACCCACAACTGGCCACGCTGGACCAACTCACACATTAAGAAGTGCCGAAGCTCGATATGCTTGGTCCGTTGGTGGAAGACAGGGTCTTTGGTAAGGTGTATAGTGCTCTCGTTGTCACACCATAGGGTCGGGGTCCGCTGAGGAATCCCGAGCTCAGCCATGAGATAGGTAAGCCATCGGGTTTCTTGGGCTGCCATGGTGACTGCGTACAGCTCTGCTTCGCAGGACGACAAAGAGACGGACGATGAGCGTGTAGATCGCCACCTGATGACACCACTACCAAGGGTGAAGCAATAGCCCTGGGAGGAGCGTCGATCAGCATGGTCGTCAGCCCATGAGGAATCACTGTACCCCTCGAGGTGAGGAAGGGACGTGCCGCCGAGAGTGAGGACGTAGTCCTTGGTGGCTTGAAGGTAGCGAAGGCCACGCTTAGCAGCTGACCAGTGGCGATTGGTGTAACGACCAACAGCAACGTAACGTGAGAGCACGCTGATGGGATAGGCCAAGTCGGGCCTTGTGCACATCATCGCATACATGAGTGAGCCGACGAGCTCGGGATAAGTTGCATCACAAGGCTCAGGTGATGGAACTAGCGGGGCAGTCAGATCGTGCTGCAGGGGAAGCGGTGTAGCTACTGACTTGGCTTCGTCCATGTCGAAGCGCTTGAGGACGTTGTTCACGTAGAACTCTTGGGAGAGAGTAGTGGTTTGGGCTTCACGATCCCGCGTGATTTCCATCCCAAGGTAGTTCTTGAGTTCGCGGAGATCCTTCATCGCGAGCGCGTCCCCTAGGGCTTGCTTGACTGCTGTCAGCTGATCGGAGTCCTTGGAGACGAGGATCATGTCGTCAACATAGACGAGAATGAAGAACGGCATCTCGTTCTTGCGAATGAAAAGGCTCGGATCGGCAGCAGAAGGATGAAAGTCGAGTGACTCGAGGGTAGCCTTCAGCTTCTTATGCCATTCGCGAGGAGCTTGCTTCAGCCCGTAGACGGGTCGATTCAACTTCTAGACTGTTCCGGATGGAAAGGGTAAGGGGAACCCTTGAGGCCGTTCCATGAAAATATCCTCAGGAAGGTCTCCTTGCAGGAATGCCGCTGAGACATCCATAGAGTGGACCTCGAAGTTGCCTCGAGCAGCGACGTCAAGAAGAGTGCGAAGGGTAGGCAGTTTAGCCGTTGGGGAGAAGGTGTCAAAGAAATCCAACCCCTTTTTTCTTGTGTAGCCTTTGGCACAGTAACGTGCCTTAAAGACCGGAAGTTCACGAGGTAGCTGTTTGATATGAAACACCCATTTGCCGCGGACGATGTTCACTCATGGAGGAGGAGAGACGTCGGTGAAGGAGTTGTTGCGAATGAATGCTTCACACTCGGCGATCATGGCTGCGAGCCACTGTGGGGAGTGCGGCCCAGAGATGGCTTCATCGTATGTGTTCGGGGTCGGGATGGATGGATTCTCTGAGAATTGAGGGTTGGAGCGTCTGCAAGATCGGGGAAGAGATAGCAGAGCTGGCGAATGGCAGCATCGATATCAATCAGCTCCTCATGCCTATCCTCGAGCAGGCCAGGCATGAGTGCACCCCCGGCAGGAGGAGACGGATTGAGGGAGATGCGGACGGAGAGAGCAAGAGGCTGGATGGGACCATGAGAACGGGTACGATGAGCGACGGGGGAGGAAGGAGGCGGCGGAGGAGTAGGTGGGACGGAAACATAAGAACAACCTTGGCGACGACGCTGATAGGTGACGGGTGGGGCGGCGGGAGGGGGAGCGGCACGTGCGGATGCCGGAGAAGGGGGGGAGGAAGGCGCAGGCAATGGTGACAGCGCGGGAGGAGGGGAAGAGGGAGCACCCGAGGTGGCGGGGGAAGGAGGGTGGGAAACAACGGAAGGAGATGGAGCGGGTGAGGAGGAGAGGGTAGAGGGATCAGGAGTGGTGGTAGCGGGGATGGAGAGCGAGGCGTCGAAATCGGCCCAGACGAGCGAAGGCGGAGCGGGGGCGGGAGACGAGTGAAGATAAAATGGGCGAGTTTCGTCAAAAGCGACATCTCGGCTACGGATGAGTTGACTAGTGGATGGATTGAGGAAAATGAAGGCTGGAGAATCGAGGTTGTGACCAAGGTAAACGCATGTCGGAGTCTTGGGAGCGAACTTGCCGCCATGGGCGCGGCGATCATGAGGATTGAGGAGGACATAAGCGGTACACCCCCAGACGCGGAGTGGGCATGCACTTGGCTTGGAGCCTGTTTAGAGCTCGGCAGGCGTGACCTCGGGGCGAACGGGATGAGGGTGAAGGTTGTAGAGGAGGGTGGCGTGAAGGAGAGCATATCCCCAAAGGGAGGGTGGAGCGGCAGCGTGCGTGAGAAGACAGCGGGCAATTTGCACAAGAGTGTGATTGCGGCTTTCCGCGATGCCATTGTGCTCCGGGCTGTGCGGAAGAGTAAAGGTCTGGCGAATTCCTTGCGAAGCGCAAAATGCATAAAGGGTGTGATTGCGGAACTCACCACCGCCGTCGGAATGGAGACACTTGACGGAGGTGCGAAAGTGGGTTTGAGCTTGCCGAACCCAAGCGATGACGGTATCAGGAACCGCCGCTTTGGAGGAAAGGAGGTGGACGGATGCGTAGCGAGAGTGATCGTCCACGAGTACCAAGAAGTATGAATGCCCGCCACGGGATTGAACAGGCGCCGGCCCCCAGAGATCCATATGGACGAGATCAAGGGGGGCGGCCGCGGCAGAGGGTGATGGAGGCAATTAACGCAATTTACTTTGTGTACAGTCCAGACAGGGAGGTGGTGGTGAAGGCGATGGTGGGGGAAGAGAGTTGGGAAGATGGAGAAGGAGTTTCTTGGAGGCGAGCTCTAAGAGGGTGCAAAAATTGGGGTGCCCGAGCCGGTGGTGGAAAAGCAAGGTAGGGTCGGAGAGGTGGCGACACGAGCAAGTGGAGGTTGTGTGAACTTCAGTGCGAGGTGGAGGCACTTGAAGCGTGTAGAGGTTGTTGGAGGAGAGAGTGAAGCGCGCGAGACGCGTGTTGCAGGTTGGATCAATGAGATCACAATGGTTGGAGTGAGCGGGGAAGATGGTGGTGACCCCTGCCCGCTGAATTTTGTGCTGTGCGAGGAGATTGTGCCTTAGCATGGGAAGGCATATACCAGTGACAGAGCCGAAAGGGAATGCCGGGCATGGAAGTATGGATGAGCCATGGGCGAGGGTGGTGAAGCTCGAGTCGGCACCGAGTAAAGGGATGGGTGCTGGTTTGAAGGACTCTTTGTCCTTGAGGACGGTATGGGTTGCTCCGCTATCAAGGACGAATTCGAGTGTCGAGGAGCGTTTAGGCACCGAGTACTACGAAGTGGTTTCATTGATCATGGCAACGCCTGGGAACAATAGGTTGAGACGAACATCAGGACTAGGGTTGTCAACAGTTGCATCCTGACTAGTCTGAACTTCAAGCTGGTTGGCCTGGCGCATGCGGAGCCAATTGGGTGGCTTGGAGTTGACGCCATTCTTCGCAAACCACTCGTCGTCTTTCTTTTTTAAGCACGTGGCGAGTGGGTGGTTGGTGCCACCGCACACCTGCCCTGCACGAGGGCCCATTTTAATGACGTAGGGGCAAGGCGGGTAGCGGTTGCGAGCTGGAGGCGCATTGGGACGCGTAGTTGGGGAGGAGCTTGGAGCGCGAAGTGCATTTTCTCGAGCCTGGGCGGTATTGTCTTTCTCGGCGGAAAGATGCGCAGAGGAGACTTTAGCGAAGGTGAGCTCTTCCGGCGGGAGGTGGAGGAGCATGGAGCGGGTGACATTGTAGGATGGAGTCAACCCAACGAGGAGAGCTGCGGCAGGGGCTTGTTCTGGGAAAACAATGCCAAGCTGCTTCAGCTCCTGGTGAATACCCTGAATCTCCGCCACATAGTCTGCCATGCCAGGGCATTCCTCCAAGTTCACTTGAAACATGCGAGGAATGAGGATTGCCACCCCCACAGCAGTTTTGTTGAGTAAGCGGTCGTTGAGGTACTCCTAGATGGCATGGGCGGACGGGTAGTTATGATACGTTTTAACTAGCTCGGAAGGAGTGGTGCTGACGAACACGCCAATGATAGCAGCGTCGGCCTGCTCCCACACAGTGTAAGTTTCCTCGTACTTGGTTGTCAGATCTTCGTGCGCATTGGATTTTTCTTCAGTGGCATTCGCCTGGAGTTCCTTGGGTGGAGTGGGCATCTTCCCTTTGCCGCGGTTGAGCAGGACATTCTTAAGACAGATGCCTTCGACCTTGCGGCTCAGAAGGTGCTTGTCGATGCCGTAGCTCCATTCCTTGAAATTGGGGCTTGTGCCGTTGGGGTCAAGGCGCAACGGAGTGATTGGGGTACCAAGGGACGCGGAGGGGAAGGCCATGGTATAAAGGGCCCCTTTCTCCTGCGCGCAGCGCCGGCTCCACGAAAATGACGCTTTTCTGAAGCGGATTTTCAATGCTCGGAGTGTCGATTTGTCAGAACTCAATAGGAAACGAGCCGTCCGGAAAGCCATGAAATAGTGATCAAAACTGCTGCTTCTATACTGCTACGCCGCTGCACCCGCTGCTGCACCTGCTGCTGCGCCCGCTGCTGTACCCGTTCTGTTACGCCGCTGAGACCCCCTGCCGTTGCAAGGGCGACGGGCGGCAGCCCGTTCAGCTTCGACGCGCAGATGCAGGGCGACGGGCGACGGCCCGAGACAGGTGCGATGAGCAGATGCGGGGCGACGGTCGGCAGCCCGACGTAAGGTGCTGTGCAGATGCGGGGCGGCGGCCAGCGGCCGGCGGCCCGAAGAGACGAGCCGCGCAGATGCGGGGTGACATGCGTCAGCCCGAGGAGAAGCGCCACGCAGATGCGGGGCGACGGGCGTCAGCCCGAGGAGAAGAGCCGCGCAGATGCGGGGCGACGGGCGTCAGCCCGAGGAGAAGCGCCGCGCAGATGCGGGGCGACGGGCGTCAGCCCGAAGAGAAGCGCCGCGCTGAGTTGAGGCGACTAGAAAAGCTTCGCATTGTAAGATGCAAATGCTAAGCTCCAACGGAGCGAGAGGATCGAGAGCCGCTTAGGCGGAAACGAGCTCTGACACCATGTAAGAAAATGGGACTTTGATTGATTAAAATGAGAGAGGGCATACAAGATTAAGTACTAACCATAGGAGAGGGTTGGAAGGGATAAGGGGAATCGGAGGGAATCCTAAGGGAATCCCAAGGGAATCCTCCCAAATCGTGGGGATTTGGGATGGATTGGGTTGGGATAGGTTGGAGATAAAAAAGCTACACCCAACCTAACAAACATTCCTAACCCTAAACAAACAAATGACTAACACACAAATGTGCAACATTGCAGCCTATCTCCAACAGTAGCAGCAGCAGTTGTAGCAGCAGCAGTTGTAGCAGCAGCAGCAGTTGTAGCAGCAGCAGCTGTAACAAAAACAAGTGGGGGGGACATGGCATCGAGTGGCATGGCCGGGTTCGATCGATCCGGATCCAAATGGGTTCAAACGATCCGGACCCGGATGGGTTCGATCCGAATGGGTTCGATCGACTCGGATCCCGATGGGTTCGATCGACTCCTCCCACTGCTTTAAAAGTACTGCAGAAGCAGCAGCAGCTGTACAGTAGCAACTGTAACGGCAACAAGTGGGGGGGCGCATGTTGTGCCGCTTTTTATGTCCTTCAAGACGAGGCATCGAGCGGCATGGCGGAAAACAGCGGGAAGAATGTCATTCCTCCTGATGCTCTAGAGATACTGCAAAGGCGGCCGGCAAGAGCAAGGATAGCAACAAGGCGGCTGTGACAGTATCGTCTAGAAGGCTTGCTGCGGATCGAATCCAACGTTTCCCCATCTGTTGCTGTGCCTTTGATGTGCTGGAGGACACGGCATCGTCGGGCATGGCTTCGGTGGGCATGGCTGACAGGGGCGAGCAGTAAGGTCAACAACAAAGGCAGAGGCAGCAACTACTGTAGCAAAGTGGTGGCCATAGTAGGGGCAACATCATTGCAACAACTCAGCATCGACGTCACACCGAGGAGGGAGGGAGGGGTGTACAATCCAATAGCAGCAACCAACGTGGTTATTGTGTCCAAGTGCATATTGTACGTACGTTATGTGTAGTGTGTTTTTGGGGGGGAGGGGGTGTTGAAGTGAACTATAAGTCGTAACTCTGCCGAGTATTAACTCAACAGGGGGGGGTGTCAGAATGCACTACTGTAATTTCATTCATTGCAAGTGGACTATTGTGGAGTAACATGTATTCAAGGCTGTACCCCTGCTGATCCAGGAGAACCTACTACCGAACATGCAGGGCAATGCAGCACATGCATCAAATACTTAGACTTCTGAACTTGCCAGGTTGTTCTACTACCTAAATGCCACAGGTGCAATCATGTGCACTTGAACCCTACTGGTATCTCTACATGTGCGATATGCTATACGCCAGTATTGTCCAAGAAGCACAGCTCGAATGTGCCTCTCCTCTCCTCTTACTCTCCATTTACTCTCCTCTGACTCAGTGTTCCCTTCACTGCCCGTCTATCCTTGAGTGTTCTGCGACCCGGGCTGGCTGGCAATGCCCACCACGAGCATGTAGATGGACGACCCCACACTCGTGACACAGATGATGGCCGCCCACACGATCATCACCCACGACGTCTTGCGCTCCCACCCATGCACCACGCCCGACCGGTCCCTGGATGTGGGAAGGCGTATGCGGGTATGGGGGAGGAGTAGCAGGGGACATGGGGGACATGGGGGACATGGGTTATGAGTGCTGCCCACACGAACGTCACCCGTGACGTCTTGTGCTCCCACCCGTGGACCACGCCTGGCCGGTCCCTGCTTGCATGAGGGTATGGGGGGATGGGGGAGGAGTAGCAGGGGACATGGGGGACATGGGGGACATGGGGGACATGGGGGGCATGGGGGGCATGGGGGGCATGGGGGGCATGGGGGCATGGGGGGCATGGGGGGCATGGGGGCATGGGGGGCATGGGGGCATGGGGGGCATGGGGGGCATGGGGGGCATGGGGGGCATGGGGGCATGGGGGCATGGGGGCATGGGGGGCATGGGGGGCATGGGGGCATGGGGGGCATGGGGGCATGGGGGGCATGGGGGGCATGGGGGCATGGGGGCATGGGGGGCATGGGGGCATGGGGGGCATGGGGGCATGGGGGGCATGGGGGGCATGGGGGGCATGGGGGGCATGGGGGGCATGGGGGCATGGGGGGCATGGGGGGCATGGGGGCATGGGGGGCATGGGGGCATGGGGGCATGGGGGGCATGGGGGACATGGGGGGCATGGGGGCATGGGGGGCATGGGGGGCATGGGGGGCATCGGGGGCATGGGGGGCATGGGGGGCATGGGGGGCATGGGGGCATGGGGGCATGGGGGGCATGGGGGGCATGGGGGGCATGGGGGGCATGGGGGGCATGGGGGGCATGGGGGGCATGGGCGACATGGGCGACATGGGGGACATGGGGGACATGGGGGACATGGGGGACATGGGGGACATGGGGGACATGGGGGACATGGGTTATGAGTGCTGCCCACACGATCATCACCCATGCCATGGCGTCTTCCGCTCCCACCCATGCACCATGCGCGACGGGTCCCTGGTGGGGGGAGGATGTATGGGGGTATGGGGGAGGAGTAGCGGGGGGAATGGCTCAAGAGTGCAGCCCACACAATCACAGCCCGCGAGGTCCTGCGCCCCCACCATGCACCACGCCTGGCCGGTCCCTGGTGTGAGGAGGGAATGGGATGGGTTGGGAGGGTTGGGATGGGTTGGGATGGTTTGCACACGACGAGGGGAAGTGGTTGAAGCAACAGCAGTGTAAGTCAAGGGGAGTGACTTGGAGGGGGGAATGTGCAGGTCAAGAGCCCGGCCCACAGCAGGACGTCCCACTTCAGAGCACTGGACCGGGTTCACCGGAGAGAGATACCTGAGAGAGATACCTGAGAGAGATACCCGAGAGCAGCGGACCAAGTAGACCTGGACGGGGCGTACATGAGAGCAGAGCACTGAGAGAGTTGGTTTGGGCGTACTTGAGAGCAGAGTACTGAGAGCGGTGGTTTGGGCGTACCCGGGCGCAATGGCTGCAGGGAAGACCATCCCGATGATCATGGTCGAGGTAGCCCCCGTGAAGTCAAACGCCACCCAGATGTTGGGCACGAGCGTGGAGATCAGGAAGATCCCCCCCAGCTGCACGCCAGTGATGATCCAGAACCGCCTTTCATGCAGCATTCTGCCTGCCTTATGTTACCTGAGCGCAATGACAGCAGGGAAGACCATCCCGATGATCATGGTCGAGGTAGCCCCCGTGAAGTCAAACGCCACCCAGATGTTCGGCACGAGTGTGGAGATCAGGAAGATCCCCCCCAGCTGCACGCCAGTGATGATCCAGAACCGCCGATCGTCCTCCGCGAGCGACTTCCCCGAGTTGTAGCAGAACAGATCATCCGTCACATTCCTTAGCGAGTAGTAGATCACGGGGAACACGAGCACCACGTGCAGCGCGTACGAGACCCGCACCACGTCGTTGATCCACTGCTTCCCAGTGAGCAGCGGGGTGGAGAAGTTGGCAAGCACGTCCGGCGCCGTGGCGTCGCCGAAGAGCAGGTAGCCGCAGAGCGAGGTGAGGCAGTAGATGGCGAAGCACGCGCCCATGGAGAAGCGCGTCACCTGCGTCATGTTCTGCTCCGTGCGCTCCTTCAGCTCCACGTAGATCGGGTGGACTGGGGTGGGTTTGGGGGGATGGGGGAGGGGACAGAGGGGTGGGCGAGTGGGGAGGCGCGAGAGAGAACAGCAGTGAGCCACTTGAATTCAAGCAGGCACAATTCAGGAACCTGTACCTGGTGCAGGTGGTACCTGGTGTCGGTGCTACCTGGTGTGGGTGGTACCTCGTGCAGGTGCTACCTGACAGAGGTTTTTACTCACTGTCGAAGTGGCAGATGTATGCAGTGGCCATGACCTGGCGACAGCCATGCAGGCACATTCAGGGGAGGTGTACCTGGTGCAGGCGTTACCTGATAGCGGCGTTACTCACTGTTGAAGTGGCAGATGTATGCAGTGGCCATGACCTGGATACAGCCGGATTGTGAAAAGTGGGACACGCGGAAAGGGGCAGGGGGAGGGGGGCAGGGGGAGGGGGGACGGGGACGGGGACGGGGAGGGAAGCAGAGCATTAGGAAGGAAATGATTGAAGGGGTAGGAAGAGTAGTAGCCGATACGAGCTAGGATCAGCACAGAGCCGGAAGATGGCGGGATGGTGGGAAAGGGGAAGGAGGGGGGGAAGGGGGGGAAGTGGGGAGAGGGGGGGGAGTGGGGAGGGGAGGGGGAGTGGGGAGAGGGGGAAAGGGGGAAGTGAGGGGTGATAGAGGCCAGCATGGTGGAAAAGAACGAGTAGAGGGATTACGGGGAAGACAGAACCGAGGGGAGATGGAGTAGAGCGTACCGGGAAGACGGAGCAGAGGGCTGCGATAAAGTTGGGCGCGTCAACGAAGGGTAACCAGCGTGGCGGGGGGAGGGTGCCCTGGACCAGCTTGACGATGGTGAGAATGAGCGTGATTATAACGAAGATGAGCGCCAGGACGACGGAGATTGCTGACGTGTAGTGCAGTGAATCTGGACAGGAGGATGGGGAGTGCGGATGGATGAAACGATACAGGAGGCAAATGAGTTGAGTGTGACGTGGAGCCAAGTGGTGAATGCGTGATGTGAAACAATGTGGTGAATGCGTTATTCTACATGTCATGCGGCGAATTCTGCAATGGGGTATATGTGCTATGTCAAGGATCATGCAAACAATACCGCAATGTGGCGAATGCATTATACTGAATGTCATGCGGAGCACTATTAATCTGGTGGCTAATGTGATGTTGTGAATGTGACGTGGCGAATGCGTTCTAATCTGGTGGTGTTAGTTCAAACCACGCTACCCGTTTCCTGTCCAAGCCACCTAGCCCATGCGAATCCATACGATGCTAACCGATAGAAGTCCATGCCATGTGTCGTCTATTGAGTCGACTCAAAAGTCACCTCGTAGTCGATCGTACCCCATCCCCTCCCACGCAACTCACCCACGTGGCGGAAGGACGCCAGCGGCACGAGGATAACGATCGTGACAATAAAGAGTACAAAGAAGCGCGTGTTCCACCACGCGGCCTCCCCGCCGTTCCACTCCTTCAACAGCCCGGGATGCGCGGACCCGATAGTAGACCACGTCCCCGCTAGCACATCCGCTATAATAATCAAATACACGACGCACAGCCCGAAGTTGTTAACGAGGACGGATATATCGAGTACGAGCCTCCACTTGGCTCCGCACTCCTGCAGCACGAGGTCGCCGTACGACCACACCTGCTGCACCGTCGTCGTTTTAATCAGTAATTCCAGGGATACTTGCGTTAATACCCCCATTGCCACGAGCGCGATGATCCCGAGGGGGATCCCGAGCACGCGCATCGTTGCGGGGAGGCCCATGATGCCCGCGCCGACCACGGTCGTCACGAGATTAAAGACGGCGGAGGAGAACGAGGCGCCTTTAAAGCCGTGGTGGCCTGCGCCCATGTCGAGAAAGCGGTCCTGGCTGTGCATCGCCTGCTGCGGGGAGGCGGAACCGGCGGATCCCGCGGAGCCGGCGGAGCGGAAGGAGTCCTTTCCGCCGTCCGCGGACGGCGATGCGCCATAGTCGGTGAATGACTGGGGACCCTGGACAAGCTCTATTGCCGACATTGTAACGAGCGTGCGATGGCTGGTGAGCGACTACCCGTGTGCGACCGCCAGGTGTGCGACTCCTTGTTATCAACAAGCGAAATGAGGCCTACGACTACCGTTGTTCGTTTAGCCTGCGTAAATGCGTAAACGCAGAGCAATGAGGTTCGAACTTTCAAGTCTGCAGCACCGAATATCTCTCTAGACTTTACTTCCTCGAGACTTCTGACTGTCACGAGTCTTGACTCACGAGTCACTATTCACGACCAGAAATGAACAGACTGAAGAGAGTGACATCGGGATTGCGGCAGCAGAAGCGGCAGTCAATAATGGGGGGAAGGGGAAGAAATGGCTGACTGGGGAAACTTTCTGTGGAAGAAATCCGGAATCCCGAGGCAGGAAGGCGGAAGGAGCGCCTTCCCCGTAACGCGGCAAGGAGCGCTCAGCTCAGCCAGGGCAGGGGGAACGAGTGGCGGGAAGGAAATGAGCAGCCCGCGCGACTCTCGAGGAGCTCAGAGGCGTACGCGGGGTGGTTCGGGCTGGCGCTGGGCTGATCCCGAGGGAAGGTTTCTGGCCATCACAGGAGCAAAAGCGAGTTTTGATTGGCTGGATTTTGCGCGATGATGGTTCGGCCCAGACCAGAGGGTACTTGTGGAAAAGCGGGAGGCGAAGGTCTGACTGTGCGGGCAAGCTGCGATTCCGTCAGCTCAAGGTTTCTGCCACGCTGCGAGGAAGTTCCGAGATTCCAACAGCGCTGTGGCTTGTGATCGACGGCGAACTGTTGACCAGACAATGGAGAACATCCTTTCCCTTCAATCTTGCACGCTCCGAATTGAGCACACTCCATTTCATGTCAGAGATGACACCTGACCTGACCTGACAATAAGGGGAGGCAGATTCAGCTCAATGTGACGCTCGCTCAGTCCACGAGCTCAATGTGCGACATCGACGGGACAAGCCGCCGCTCGAGCCTGGACATGGAACGTGTTACAGTACGGTTTGCGACAATGATAAATTCGCGACCAGCCAAACAGCACGAAACGAAAACCATACGGTAACCCAGCGACAAAATGGGGAAACCAAGGTTCAGCTGTGACAGGGGTGACACAGCGTTTGGCGACACGGGTTTTTTTACCACTCCTTTCGTCTATGTCAGTCGTCAATCGTTATTCACTTTCGCCATTTGCTTTGCGAAGTTTGTCTGGTTACTGTTTACACTTGAGCGCGGCTCAATGTCGTGTTCCAATTCTATTAGCAATTTCAGCATTTCATTGCAACATTGAGCCGAAGGCTCGAGTTTTTGCCTCGCTCGAACCCAATGTAGCCCGCCCTAATGTGGGGAAAAACGGGAATAGCATGACGAGGCAAATTCATACGCTATATTGCACGTGTCGACATCCACTGCAGGATTGAATTCCTCGTTTATTAGCAAAAATGATCGTACTAGCCCAGAACCATCTCCCCCCTAAAAACCCTGTTTCTCTGCTTTCCTGCATTCAGGCAACTGTTTCTTGCTCCCACCTTCCCTGTCCGATTGCTTCTCGTGCCACTTATTCCTTCTCAAGCCTTCGCACCTCACCACCATGGCGGCGGCTCCAGATGACGATTTTCCGCCGCTAGTTGCGCAAGAATCTCTAGTCCCTTCCGCCCTCCCCAACCCTAAACCCGCCTGGGGAGCGCCCCGCGCAGTGTCCCTGCGCGAGTCCCTCCGCGAATCCGCGGAAGCGGATCAAAGCGGAAGTGGAAGTTTTACCGCTGCTCCGCTCGGAGCCCATGCTGGCTCGAGCGGAGCTGACGTGGCATCAGGCGGGAAACCCGCCAGCGTGTCGCTCAGCACAGACGCGGCCACGCGCGGCGGCGGCGCCTCCGGAGCCGTGCAGGTGCTTGTAGTGGACGCGAATGTTCTTATATCGGGGGCGTCGGGGGCTACCTTGCAGAAATTCGCCAGCGAGGCGGAGATTGTGACTGTACGCGAGGTGCTCGCGGAGGTGCGGGATCGCACCGCGCGGCAGCAGCTGTCGGTTCTCCCCTTCGATATCAAATGCCGGGAGCCCAGTGAAGAGTCGATTAAGGAGGGTAAGGCCGCTAAGCAGGGGTAGTCCTTCCAGAGTCCTTCACGGGTTCGGGTCTAGGATTTCGGGTTGACGTTCGCGTAGGGTGTGGTTCCCCTACTACAGGGTGACTTTTGAGTCTATTACAGGGTTTATTCATATTCTTTCCCAAAAACCCTAGTTTCCCCTTTCCGACCTTCTTCAAAACGCTTCTCCGCCTCCCCTTTCTACCGCCTTCTTCCGCCCCTTCCCCCCAACACCCCAACCGCCCCAACCCCCCCCCAGTTCTCCGCTTTTCACGCGCCACTGGTGACGTGGGCACGCTCTCCGCCGTCGATTCCAAGCTGCTCGCGCTCGCGGTGACGGAGGAGATCTGGACTCACGGCCGCACGAATCTCCGCGCCGCGCCCGCCCGCCCAATCTTCCAGAAGAGGACAAACGTGGCGATGCGCCAGGCGCTGCCTGGGTGGGGAGCGGAGAACGTGGCGAATCCGGATGAGTGGGCGGGGATCGACGCGGTGGCGGACGACGGGGGGAAGGGGAAAGGGAAGGGGCAGGGGACGGGGGTAGCCGGGTCGCGGATTTTAGGCGTTAGGGCTTTGGGGGAGGGGGATGAGAACGCAGATGAGAGCGAGCGGGGGGTCGATGCGGGGAGGGAGGCGGGGGAGGAGGCAGGGGAGGAGGCGGGGGAGGAGGCGGGCGAGGGGAAGGTTGAGACTGGGGGGAATGGGGGAGGGGAGGGTGTAGAGAATAAGGTTCAGGGTTTGTCGCTGGGGGGAAATGGGGATGAGGGGGAGCAAGGGGAAGATGGGCCGCGGAAAAGGGAAGCAGGGCGGAAATCGGATCAAGGGGGGGAGATGCCCGGGTGGGGGACAGTTGGGGGCGGAAGGGGGAGAGGTGGGGGGAGAGGGAGAGGAGGGCGCAGATGGGCGCCTCGGGAAATAAAGCCGATAGTAGCTGAGGAGCGGTTCGAGGGCAAATTAGTAGTGGCTGGAGTAGACGCCTCTAAGAGAACAGAACCAGCTGACGTGACAGGGCGAACAGGAGGGGAGGAAGGCGGGGAAGGAGAAGGGGAAGGAGGGGGAGAAGGGGGAGAGGGGGAAGGGAATGAGGGGGAGGAGGCGGAAGAGGAGGAGGAGTGGGAGGCGGCGAGGGGGAAGAGCGGGCGGAGGAGGTGGAAGAGGCGGGCGGGGAAGCGCGCCGCCATGGAAGAGCTCGAGAGGCTCGCGCGCGAGCAGGCGGAGCGGGCAGCGGCGCTGGCGGGCATGTCGGCCCCAGGACAGGCGGCCCCTGAGGCGGCTACTAAGAGCGCAGCAGTGGTGGGCGGAGATGCAGGCGCGGGCGCAACAGATGGGCCCGTGGCAGCAACAGAAGAGGCAGGTGTGAGTGGAGATGGTGGTGGTGGCGCTGGTGAGGCAAGGGAGAAGGGTCCGGAGGAAGGTGCGGTGAGACAGGAGGAGGGGGGCGAGGGAGCAGCGCTGCAGAGAGGGGATGGGGAGGAGGAGGAGGATCACGAGGGTGAGGGTGAGGGGGATGGGGAAGAAGGAGGAGAGGAGGAAGAGGAAGGGGAGGAAGAGGAGGGAAGTGGAGATGAGGAGGGAGAGGAGTGTGAGGGAGAGGATGAAGCACAGGAGGAGGAGGAGGGGAGCGTGGATGGTGGCAGTGAAGCAGCGTCCATGTCATCATCATCGTTATCCACGTCAGCAGTGGCCCTGATGACGTCTGACTACGCCATGCAGAACGTGGCACTGCAGATGGGTCTGCGCCTGCTGTCCGGCCAATCAGGGATGCGCATTGCCCAGGTGCACAGGTGAGCCTTCAGGTGTTTCCTCAGATGTACAGGTGAGAATTCAGATGGTCCTTCAGTTGAGTTCAGGTGGCCTTCAGGTAATCTCAGGCTTCAGGTGATTTCCGGGTAGCCTTCAGGTGATTTCAGGAGAGCCTTCAGATGACCAAGTCCAGTTTGTTCTGCATCCCATCTTTTCTTTCTCCGCCTGCTTGGCTGTTCGCGTGCTCCAGGTGGGTGCAGCGCTGCTCTGCCTGTTCGGCTGTCACACCAGACATGACTCGCGTCTTCTGCCCTGACTGCGGCAACGGCACCACGCTCAACAAGGTACTCATATATGTTAGCATTCAGTGGATACACCTAACAAGGTACTTAGCATTCAGTGGATACACCTAACAAGGTACTTAGCATTCAGTGGATACACCTAACAAGGTACTTAGCATTCAGTGGATACACCTAACAAGGTACTTATATGTAATGACCAGCAATGAAACAGGCGCTTATGATGGTGGTGCATGCGGCCTCCCATCACCCTCTCTTCTCCCTTGCATCCTGGCCGTCCCTCTCTCGTCTCTCCTCATCCTTCCTTCTCGCTCCCTGTGGCAGGTGACAGTAACGGTGGGAGTGGATGGGGTGGTGCATGCTGGTGTGCGCAAGAGGCACAACATCAGAGGCAGCAAGGTGAGAACGGGGGGAGTGGGACTCTAGGGCCCTATCTGGTGGTGCATGCACGCACGGTAGGGTGGTGCATGCATGCTGGTGTGCGCAAGAGGCACAACATCAGAGGCAGCAAGGTGAGGGGCAGGATTAAAGTCAGCACAGTAACTAGCATTCAATTTTTTAGGCGCCTAAAAAATTAACTAGCATTCACACAACATGCTGTCTCTACCGTGACAGACAGCATTCGCAGTGGCACGATAGTGATACGCACTTGCAATAGATGCACGATAGTGATATGCGCTTGCAGAAGATGCACGATAGTGATACGTGCTTGCAATAGATGCACGATAGTGATACGCACTTGCAAGAGATGCACGATAGTGATACGCACTTGCGATAGATGCACGATAGTGATACGCACTTGCGATAGATGCACGATAGTGATACGCACTTGCAATAGATGCATGATAGTGATACGCAAGAGTCAAGACGGATACGATGCATTCATCAGAACCAGACTCCTGGTCTCAAGAGACAAGCTCACACCTGTGCCCCGAAATCTCAATCCCCATCCCCCATCCCCCATCCCCCACATTCTGCAGTTCTCCCTGCCAATGCCCAAGGGCGGCAGGGTAGGAGCAGCTAAAGACCCGGTACTCAGGGAGGACCAGCTGCTTCCGAAGAACGGCCGGCGCCGATTCACCAAGAAGAAGGGCAAACCCACGGACGTGCTGGCGCCTGACTTTGTGACGTTCTTTGATGAGGTGGGCGAGGGGAAGGCGGGCGGCGGGGGCGCGGTCAACAGCCGGGCGGTGGTGGCGACTGTGGTAGCTGGAGGGGATACGAGGAGAATGGCCGTTGCCCTGGGGCTGAAGGTGAATCCCAATAGGGTGAAGCGGGGAGGGAAGAAGTGAGTTTGGGGCAGGAGTGCGGGAGAAGACGAGGGAATACAAGGCGGTGAACAGCTGGGCGGTGGTGGCGACCGTGGTGGCTGGGGGGGATACAAGGAGGATGGCCGTTGCACTGGGGCTGAAGGTGATTCCCAATAGGGTGAGGCGGGGAGGGAAGAAGTGAGTGGAGTGAGTGCAGGGAAGGAGTGAGTGCAGGGAAGGAGTGAGTGCAGGGAAGGAGCTTGACTTCAAGGTAGTGGGGGCCGAATTGAGGAGGGGTTGCGGGGCGATTTTCCCTGTGTCCTATTGGCTGCAGTGCGGTGAGGTGCGGTGCAGTTCAGGGCTGCCATTTCCTTCCTCCGACCCTTGGCCCTTGGGATTGCTATCACATGATTCGTGTATTGTAGAACTGTACGGGTTTAGGGTTTAGTGTTGGCTACAAGTATTGTTGGAGCTTTTTGCAGAGTTGGCTAGCTACAACAAGGAATTGTTTGCACATGTATGTATGTCGTATGATGCCATCGTACTGTCATAGATTGTGTGCATTATCAGACCGTTATTATATGGTACTTTGTAGCTGTTGTTCGTTAAGCCCTTTGTTTGCTGCACGTTGTTAAGCATGTAATACAATCATTTCAAAAGGAGTATACACGTATTTATTCATAGGCCCCCAGTGTAGAGTCACGTGTACGAGGGGCATTCCGGACCCGACAATGGCATCAGCTGCTGCTCCAGCTGTCCCTAAGGAGCACCCCAGAAGCAGCAGCAGCAGCAGGAGCCAAAACCGATGTGGAAGGAGGGGATGACGACATGTTACAGCACCCTAGAAAGGCGAAGACGATGTGGTAACCACAGGAGGGTCGGCGACAGCGGGAGAGAGGGGGACGGGGAGACGGGCGATGTGGCCTCGCCACCTGGTCAAGTCAGACAGTCGGGGGTGGTGGGGACGCTACGGCAGGGGGGGCGGGGGTGAAGCGGTAACAGCGGCGGGAGGTGGAACCGGGGACGCCCACACAGGTGGTAACCTTCCAAAATGCTCACAGGTCAGACAGTCGGGGGACGTGGGGACGCTACGGCGTGGGGGGTGGGGGCGAGGCGGTAACAGCGGGGGGAGGAGATGCCGTAGCAAGGGGAGGTGACGTGGCAGCCGGCGTGGGCGGAGGGGGGGAACTAACAACAGGAGGCGGAAGGCTGGGGGAAGCGGGGGGGGTCGGAGGCGGAGACTGCGGCGGAGACTGGGGCGGAGACTGGGGCGGAGACGTGGGCGGAGACTGGGGGGGGGAAGGGGAAGGGGGAGGCGGTGACGCGTCCCCATCTCCGCCGTCGTCTCCGCCGCCGTCCGCGGGCGGTGCGCGGTACACGTCGTCGGGGATGAGGAGCGAGTCGACGAGGTGGAGTTGGAACGAGGTGGTGTTGGCGAGGTTGGGCGCGATCATGGTCGACGTCGACCGCCCGCTGCCCGACCGGAAGACGACGGTGAAAAACGCGCTCTGATCCGACTTGAACACGGGCTCCTTCGCGAGCGTCGCGAACTGCTCGCACAGGATAGGCGAAAAGGGAGGGAAGGGGAAGGGGGAGGGATGGGAAGCAAGGAGGGAGGGGAAGCAAGGAGGGAGGGGAAGCAAGGAGGGGGGACACACAATGACAAGGGAGGCGAGGAGGGAGGCAGGTGGTGTTGCAGAACGGGGGGGGGTCTATTTTTGAGGCGCCTCAAAAATGACTTTTGAGTCGATTCAAAAGTCAAAATGGACTCCTCATCCAGTGGGTTTTGCATAACGGGGGGGGCGAGGAGGAATAACGTCTTGGCCATGCACCAACGAGAGGAAAGGATGGCCCCAAAGCAAGGAGGGGATACACGACTTGCCATGCGTGGAGAGAAAAGAATGTCCCTTACTGCACTTGCCATGTAAGTGGAGATATTGAAGTGGAGATTGAATTTGAGATGGATGGCAAGTGGAGTTTTGGCGACGAGCCAGCGAGATGGGCGTGAGAAAGAACGAAAGTAAATAATCGAGACTCTCAATCCAAAAGCTTGCCCCTTTTCACCTGATTCACTTTGCCTCGTTACAAGCATACCTTTCTATTAGCAGAAAACTCGACGAGCTTCGTGTAGTCGAACTTGTTCCCGAGAATCATGTGGTAACGCAGCGTCGTGCGCGCGAGACCCGGCTTGCTGATGTACGGCGACGCGGGCGGCAGCGCCTGCAGCGCGTCGGGGGACGGCACGAGGAACGTGGCTCCGTTGGTGCCGGCCTTGACAATCGCCTCGAGGAGCGTCTGCAGCAGACCTGCGAGAGAAGAGCATTCAGAAAAGCGTTCTCGATAATGCGGAGTGAGCATTTTATACCTTCCAGCTAGTTGTTCGAACGTACCGACCCAAATGTCGTGTCACATTGCGGACGTATGCAAGCGTTTCAAAAAGATGCGTCGGAAGTGTCACGAGCGGATGCGGCAATTACGAATCAATTACCTGCTTTTTGGAAGAACTGTACGAATTGCTTCTGCTTGCTCAGCGACATCACCAGGTTGAACACCTTCTGCGCGTCAGCGAGGTTCACCATATTGGGGCCCGAGTCGCCGCTCTCCGCCTTCTTCTTCCGCTTCGGAATCAGCCGCTTGATCAGCCCTGGCTTATTACCCTTGGGCGGGGAGCTTGTCTTCGGTGGCGAGGAGCTCTTTGGCGGGGAGCTTGTCTTCGGTGGCGAGGAGCTCTTTGGCGGGGATGAGTCTTTCGCGGGAGATTTCGCGGGAGATTTTGCGGGGGATTTCGCGGGAGATTTCGCGGGGGATTTCGGGGGGGATTTCGTGGGGGATTTATTGCTTGAGGTCGTCAGGGGTTTCACGGACGAGCTCGCGAAATCCGACCTCGATAAAAGCTCTCTGGCACTCATCTCCGCGCTTGCATCGAGCTGAGTTGACAGAAGAGGCGCGGCCATGGAATGCCTACCAAGCGCGCCTGGAACGGCGCCTATGGCTGCGACGGCCAGGACGAGAAGGCACGCCAGGAAAGCTAGGCTAGAGCGATGCGCCATGACTCTCGCAGAGTCGTGGGGCGATGCGGAAAAGCGCTGGCTTGGGCTAAGGAAATTTTAGAGCTCGTAAGATACCTATATCACTAACTGTGCAATACTCGGGCACTGTTTGACGGGGCTTTATTTGCGACACTCGTAGAGTAAGCAGCGTAACGTGGTCGTTCGAAGAACACGCCTACCTAACGCAAGCAGTTCTGCATCGCCTGAGGTAGAAATACTACTGTAAGAGCTTGGAGGAGCTAGGACCTCCAGATAGTCGTGAAGTATGCCTAGACGAGCCAGCACGCGCGACAGTTACGCAGCAGGTACTTTCTATCGTGATGCGTGACGTTCAGGCTTTTCTGGAGTCTCTGTGTCGGTTAGCTGCGCTCCGTTGTGATTGTGGAGTCCGCATTCTGGTGATCATGACGGAAGGAGCACAGATTCCTAGAAGAAAGGTGCATTGAAACGGCTAATGTTGATGGATGCTCGGGTGGATTGCGCAAGGTGCAACTGGGGCGATACGCGAGATCAACAACGGAGGAGGACAAGTCATTGAGTGGCCACGAAACAGTGTGGAGATGTGCGGGACGAATGGCACTCCCGAGTCGCTAACATTTTCACAAGGGAAATCGAAGCGCGACATTGGAAGCTGAAACACGGAAAGGCAGCATGAGAGGTTCCGCATCTCACGCTGGATGGACTCAACCAATCCTGTGACAGGAAGGTGATGTGGGTTCGTTCTGTCGGTGTGCTCGTGGCACAAAAACGAGTTTCTTGAGGTGTCGGCAAAGGGAAGTGTCGGAAAATCTGACAGCCGTCAGGCTTTATTACCGAAGCCCAATTCCCGTGGGTGTCGACGCTGATCAGAAGTTGGGTTCGGATGGAGCCCATACTTTTGAGTTGGTGCCTGTAAGAAAATAACATTCGGTGCCTATAGCCACATAATTTCTCCACTTCACCTAATGCTTTATCGTTTCATGCTATACCACATGCACCTACAAAGCCATTAATTATTAGCACCACCCCAAATTGGAAGCCGCACCCCCTAAACATCAACCTGGGTTCGCCCTTGCATCAAGAATTATCGGTCTGACTTGCAATACCGGTACAACTCTCGACCAGGGCATTCATTCCCAATCGGTGCTTATTTTTTATGACTAAATTCTCTGATTCTATGTATTTTCGGAGTTGGTTTTCAGTACGACCCTTACGCCTTGGGGCATTTTTTTGTTTTAATATGTTTTCTCTGATGAGCTAGAGTTTTCTAATACCACACTAAGCGTTCCCCTAGAAGGCATATACAGTCAGAAACTCAGCCACTAACCACTGAGTTCAAAGGGCTTGTTAAAGCCTGCGGCTAAAATGGTAGGCCTGGAAACCACTTGAATTTGGTACTTTCAAATCCGTCTAAGTATAGAATGGAAGGCAGCTTTGAGTTTAAGCCTGAATAAGAAAAATGCGTCGAAACAAATTCAGGTCGAGCCTGCTGATTGGAGGAATGAACAAAGAACTCGTTTTGCTGTTTGTTGTGACACGATCATTTGGATGCGCATTGCGCAAAAACACTGTGTGCATCGCATGGAGTTTCTACGATGGGTTTGGGCGAGCAGCTTGCGACGAGGAAATACATGCGCTTTTGTCAAATATAACGTGTGTTGTTACTGTATACTATACAGGTTTGTGCCTTAGAGGGTACAACGCACTAGTCTATATTGCCCTGTATCTTCCTATTCTACTCATTCTCTCTGTCTCTCACGTTGACTGAAACTTCTAGCCACATAGCGCACCTTGAACACAGGCGGCTCTCCAGGAGGGCGCTTCACCTTGAAGAGCCAGCGGCCATCGACTTCGTTCACCCCATGTGGGGGAACTGCGTCGACGTAGGTGCCGGTGGATCTCCAAGATACCATCTCCTGCTCCATGGCAGCTATCCACTGAGAGGCCCAGGGTCCCGAGACCGCCTCAGCGTAAGTGCGAGGGGTCGGGATGTCGAAAGCATCTGGGTCACCCTCAGGAACTAGCAGCATGGAACAGAGATGGGGAGCAGCCTCAGACAGGAAAGCAAGCTCGTACTGGCTGTCCTCCAGGACGTCACTGCCGAGGGCAGAAGCACCCTCGACAGACGGAGGACAGGCAGGTTCGGAGACCAGAGCGGTGGCGTAGTTAAGGCGCCGGGTTGAGGCGAAGTCAGCGACCGCAGCGACAAGGGCGTCAAGGCGTAAAAACCGGAACAGATGGGTCGGTAAGGAGAGAGGCAAGGACCCGAGGAACAAGAGGACGAGTGGCACGAAGGTAGTCAGACAGAGGGTCAGCCGCTTGAGTTTGACGCGTGTATGGTTGACCTCCGCCACCATCTCACTGGTCAGCGGCAGGATGGTCACTCGCTGCCTGTCCACCTTGACGGTACGCTCCCTTGCCCTGACCCCCCTGCTGTGCTGCCTGCTGAGCGTGAGCCCGCTGCCGCTTCTGCCCTTGCAAGCTCTGCCTGGCTGGCGCGTGACGCTGTTGCGCAGCTTGCTATCAGCTATGCCCTCCTACTATCTGAGGGCCCTTGCTTTAAGTCCGTCACGACTGCGCAGGCGTTCCTAGATGCAGTTGTCCAGCGCTACGTAGAGGCGAAGTCAGCGACCGCAACGACAAGGGCGTCAAGGAGAAAACCGGAACAGACGCGTTGGTAAAGAGAGAGGCAAGGACTCGAGGAACAAGAGGACGAGCGGTATGAAGGTAGTCAAACAGAGGGGGAGGCGCAACAATAAGGGAGGACGAGGGAGGCGTCGGAAGGAGGGGAGGACAAGACGCGTGGGAACGAAGCGACATCGGGTGAGATCGCGGGACAGGGAGACACGGCGAGCACAGGAGGGACGATTAGACCAGACGTGACACGGAGGTGTCGGGTTAGGAGACTGAGGAGGAGACACAGGAGGGGAACGAGGGGGAAGACGAGCCGGAGACGAGTTTGGAGGAGGAAACACAGGGCCTAGTCAGGAAGAGTAGAAGACGGCCGGAGAGGAACAGACGAAGGGTCAGGGGAGGGAAGGCCGAGCAGGCGAAGGGCTGACACCGGCGGTGACTGCTGCTGTGGCGGCACGACACTGACACCGGGACGGCAAGCTGCTCCACGGCTACCTCCAGAACACTCGATTACAGCACCCCCAGAAGGAACACCCCCAGAGCCCGAAGCCCCTCGAACACCGGTACCACCCCCAAGCCTGCCGGGGCAAGCCACAACAGGAACCCCAGGACTAGTACCCACCCCATTGCCAGCACCCCCAGAGTCAACGAACTGCTGTGTCGGCTGCAGCGATGGCTGCGGTGGCGGCGGCGGTGGCTGCGATAGCTGCGGCGACGGCAATTACGGAGGTGGCGGAGGAGGAGGCACCTAGGGAAGGGCAAGAGGCGAGGATTGCACCGCAGGACCACCAGAGTCAGCAAACTCCTCGACCGGGACAACCGACGGGAGGGGGGTGACGTGGGACACACTAGACGAAGCAGGACGGGGAGGGGGAGGGGGGGGGACTGGGGCGACCGGGGAAGGGGTGACCAGGAACAGGGGGGGAGTAACCAGGGGTCCTCGGTGGGGGAAGCGGCGGTAGAAGGAGACAGACTCGTCAAAGGTGACGTCATAGGAATGGAAGTACCGGTGAGACGGTGGGTGGTAGAAGTGCCAGTCGGACGCATCAAGGGGGAAACCGAGGAAGACACAAGGGAGTGTGCGAGCAGTGAGCTTGTCCGCACCAGAGGCACGAATGTGAGCAAGGCAGCCCCAGACGTGGAATGCGGACGCGTCACCAGGAGACCCGGTCCAGAGAAGGGTCGGTGAAACCTGCAGTTGCTGGGGGTGCGGCCACAGGTTAAGCTGGTGAGCGGCGTAGCGAACGGCGAACGGCCACAGAAAATGGGTGCACCGGCATGGATCATGGAGGTACGAGCCACCTCCATGACCAAACCGATGCGTCGCTCAGCGACCCCATTCTGCTGCGGGGAGTCCGGCAGGGTGAACGTCTGGGTGATTCCCTCCGCACGACAGAAACGACCAAGGACACCAGAGGCAAACTCGTCACCACGGTCAGAGTGGAGTCGCAAGACAGGGAGACCGCGGTGGACACGCGTAGAGACAAGCCACGGGATGAGAACGTCAGGCACGTCGGCCTTCCGCTCCAGGGGAAAGACTGTGGTGTAGCGGGTGTAGTTGTCGACAAGCACTAGAAAGTAGCGCTCTCGACGAGGCCCCTGGACGGGGGCGGGGCCCCAGACGTCCATGTGCAGGGTCTGTAGCGGTGCGGTGGTAGGGGTTAACGAGGAGGAGTGAGGGGCACGGCGGAGCCGGCCCTCGACACAGGGGGTGCACGGGGGTGCTGGGGAGGAGGGCAACTCAGAGAACGACCTAGGGAGGCCTAGGACGAGACCATGCTGGGACATGTGACGCAGACGCGGGAGAGCAGGGTGACCTAGACGGTGGTGCCACAGGAGTGTCGGGTGAGTGAGCGACCGACAGGAGCAGGCAGCAGCAACCTGAGTAGATGCAGCCACCTGAGGGGGCGTCCCAACCGGTGGGGTCGCGGTGTCCAGTGTGAACAGTTCGGGCACCGGGTCCCGCGGGAACGTGGTAAGAGGGACACCAGAGGTGGCCTCGGTACAGATAGCGTACCGCTCATGACCAGGGAACGTAGTGGTGACGCCAAGGTCCTGGAGGCAGCCAACACCAACTAGGTTCCTAGAAAACAAGGGGATGTGCAGACCTGTGAGAGAGCCCGAAGGAACCGCCGGACAGGGAAGGGTGGTGGAACTGCGGGCAACTACAGGGCCGGAGGAGGGGTCAGCAAGAGAAACTGCGGCAAGGACAGGAAGCGGCGTCAGCGTGGTGGAGTCGCGGAAGAAACACCGGGAAGCGCCACAGTCCAAGATGAAGGAAAGCGCAGCAGTGGCGGGCGAAGGCGAAGCAGCGATGGAAGCACCAAGGCTAAACAAAGCAGGGGATCCTACGCCTGATGCAGTAGGGGAGCCTAAGCTAGGCACACCTATACTAGGCAACAAGGGGTAATAAGGAGGAAGCACACTAGAGTCATCAGCATACATCACATGCAAGGCAGTAACAATCGCATCCATGTCCATGTCAAAGATCTGAACCCTACGACGGAGCAAGCTGTGCCAGTCTGGGAGCTCGGGGGACAGGCCGAAGCGCTGACGAAACAGGTCGTCCAGGCGACGGAAACAGTGGACGGAGGTGTGACCGATCTTACCGCAAATGAAGCCACGGCGAGGACCGGTCTGGAGGTGGTACTGGCAGCGTACGTCACCCGAACCACCACCCGGCAGCCCACCACTTGCACCACCACCACGTCCAGTGCCACCACCAGTGCCAGGCAACCCGGGCG